AGTAGTGTGATTACACGAAAGAAGGAAAAAGACTAGACTAACGACAATGTATAAAATTGATAAAAACCAAGTTCCTGAATATCTAACTGATATAATCCCAAACTTACGATGTAATTCATCAAGTTACAGTACGAGAAACTCGCAGAATTATAATATACCCAAATGTAGATTGCAAGCTTACATGTACAAGTCAACTGTCGAAACAGTATTTTTGCACAGCTGAAACCACAGGCACCTGACGTTACTTATTTTTCTTTTAATAAAAAAATATACACATACCTAATGTTTATTATTAGGTATGTGTGTATTTTTTTTTATTAAAAGAAAAATAAGTAACGTCAGGTGCCTGTGCGTAATAACGCGAAAAGGTTTCGTGTTTGGGATGCATACTCCACTAATAAAAGCTCTTTCAAATGACACCAAGGTCAATGATCTTGTGACCTTGACTGTGACCTCTATGCTAAAAATAGCTTTTATGCAAACTTTAACCTTCGCCATGACTTTTGAACCATAAAAGATAGAGACTTCATGTTTGGTAAGCATACACCACTGATTACGTTCTTTTGAATGACACCATGGTCAATGACCTTGTGACCTTGACTGTGACCTATACGTTAAATATAGATTTTTTTTGTCGACAAACTTTAACCGTCGCCATTTTTTCTGAAGGAAGAAAGATAGAGGCTTAATATTTAGCATGCATACTCCACTAACTAAGCCCTTTCACAAGACACCAAGGTCAATGACCTTGTAACCTTGACTGTGTCCTATATGCTAAAAATAGCTCTTTTGAACTTTAACAATAACTTTTGAACCATGAGAGATAGAGATTTCATATTTGGTATGCGTAGTAAACTAATCAAGTTCTTTCAAATAACCGTGTGATCTTGACTGTGACCTATATGCTAAAATTATATTTTTCAAACTTTGTTGCCGCCGGGCGCATAGTGTTTCACAAACACATCTTGTTGTAGCCCGAAGGTCCTAGCTCATACATGTAACTTTTTCATGTAAACAACAAGATGTGTTTGTAACCTTACCAACTTTATGGGTCAGTATCCTAGAAATAAAATCTATATGAATATGCCCATTATGTTTTTCATGTTGCCCCATACACTGGCCAAATTCGTGGGGGAAATACTCGGTAAAACTTTATTTAAATGCAATAATTTGCCACAGTTTTACATACTGCAACAAAATGTTCAGGAACCAAGAAACCAATAGTTAACTAGTGCTAATTGTAACGGGAACCGTTACAGATGTTCCCCAAACGCTCCCCAACTCCCTTTCGGTGCCATGTTCCCTGTAAGCTTCATTAAATAAGACAAACTCTGTGCATTTTTGACTTTTACAACGCTTTCCCAGAAGGATACCAATTATATTCAATTTTTAGCATTGCACCCAAGCGCATGTGAATGCATGTGCGTTATGACCTTATCATCTTGTCTACACTATTTATATATTTTAATATACTATATATTAAAGCATTCAGTCCAAAAGTAATAAAAATCACTCATTCAAGAGTATTTATAAATATACTCGTTTCAAATGCACGCACGTGCGTGCACGTGCATGGTGACCATACCTTCTTGTAGGAGTCCCTTACATCTATCTATGTTCTAAATCCCATCCTGTTTGGTTGAAAAACAAGGGAGTTATAGCCATTTAAAGTTTCAGCTAATCAGATTGCAGCACACGTGCATGCACGTAATTTAATGATTTGTTTATATCATTTTGTAGGATATCCTAATGCATGACCATATTTTAAATTTCAAAAAATTTCGTCAAAAAACAAAGGAGAAATAGCAATTTAAAGTTTCAGCCAATCAGATTGCAGCACACGTGCATGCGCGTGATTTCATGATTTTTTTTCTATATCATTTCGTAGGATATCCTAATGCATGACTATATTTTAAATTTCAAAGAATTTCGTCAAAAAACAAAGGAGATATTGCCATTTAAAGTTTCAGCCAATCAGCTTGCAGCACGCGCACATGCGCATGCTTTCATGAAAATTCTTATATATCATGCGGTAGATCTTCATAATGTAGGACTATGTTCAAAATTTCAAAGGATTATGACAAGAAACAAGAAAGTTATTGAGACTTTAGTTTCAGCCAATCAGAGCGAAGCGCACGTGCATGCGCGTGAAATCTTGCTATTTTGACCATGCTATCTTGTTTATACTACTAATGTATCCTTACATTATGAGTTTCAAAAAATTTCATCAAAAAATAGAAAAGTTACGGCAATATCCATTATATTGGTAATTTCACCTATTGCACGTGCGCGCTCTTGCAAGCACGTGCGCGCAAAATGACCTTTGTTTGGCAACTCTACATAACATGCCTACTAACCCTAAAAAGGTTTCACCTAAGTCGGATGTGTAGTTTACAAGATCACTCGTGGACAAAATTTTCCCAGGAAGAAGAAAAATAATAATAATAATAATAAGAAACAGAGTAAAAACAATATGTTCCCCAACTTCGTTTGGGGAACATAATTATAATATTTAAACTGTAGCAAGACTTTTCCTCAAAAGTGTGTATGTTTGGAGGGGGGGTTTACCCCATTCGCATTCGTATTACGTACTGGCCTACATGAAAAGGAAAAGGAAAAGGCGTTATCTTATGTTAATATATAAAGATTTAATTAAAACCATGTTTATTTATGCAATTATCTATATTCCTGCACATCTCACTGACAACTGTTTGCATTCGTATTAAGAGAAGACAACACTCTACTTGTGAAGATTTAGGACATAGGCAGACTTATCTTGGAGCTTTGCTGCCATGTACAGTGTATTAAAATTTATGTCATTTGAAGATATTTTTCTCTCTTCTTGGAAAAAAGCAGGCAACTATTTGCATGGGTATAATGAGCAATTGAAATCAATGACCCTTGGTAGAGGTGTGTCTGGTATGAAAGAAGGACTTAGTTGGTTCAACATTGAAAAAATATGACGCATTTCAAAATCTTTTTTCCTGGAAATCTAATTGCTATCTGTTCAAATTATTTTTTGAGAAATTAGTATATATCTATTTGTGAAATTCATGTAGCAAAGGTACGATATCTGCACCCCCCCCCCCTCGGTTGGGCTAAATATGTTTAGTTATGTATTGAAAGTAAAAGGCATAATAACGCCTTTTGGAAAGGCGTAATAATGCCTTTTAAAAAGGCGTAATCACGCCTTTTAGAAAGGCGTAATAACGCCTTTTGGAAAGGCGTAAAATAACGCCTTTTAAAAAGGCGTTATAACGCCTTTTAGAAAGGCGTAACAGCGCGTTTTGGAAAGGCATAATAGCGCCTTTTGACGCCTTCTAGAATGGAAAGGCGTAATAACGCCTTTTGGAATGGAATGGCGTAATAACGCCTTTTCAAAAGGCGTTATAACACCTTTTTTCGCATTATTACGCCATTACGCCTTTTCAAAAGACGTTATAACACCTTTTTTCGCATTATTACGCCTTTTCGAAAGGCGTTATAACGCCTTTTAAATTTTTTTTCTCTCTCTAGATTGATCCTAATAGGCTTTCGTAATTGATAACACTTTGCAGTGTGGCATAATAAAGAAAATGAAGTGTGTGTCCATGAACATTTATTAAAATTCAAAATCCAAATGTTAATTTGACGTTATTATATAATAGAATAATAGAATTAGCTTCTATCAAAGATGAAATAACCTTAAAAGCAGAGGGTACTAGTTGAATTATTGTATCAAACAACATAATAACAATGGTACTGAGTGATTAGTATTTTATTTGACTGAATGGGCCGCTTCAATGCAGACTGGTCCGTGCGCACCGTCTGCAGCATTAAAGACACCGATTTTTACAAAAATGTAAAGTTCCATCAAAAATAAAACTTAAATCTTTCTGACTTGGTTTTTCATGTATAAATAGAACCATTTAAATGTTAACAAAACCGTCATTGTCCACGAACTTTTTGGACAACCTTCGTAAAATAATTATAAAAAATTGGCGGATTTAGGAATTTTAAACGGTGAAGGCGAGGTAAGAGTAAGCAAGAGGAAAGAATATTTTCTCATAATTACAAATTACAAAACATCTAAAACAACACCACCTCATAGGTGCTTGTGGATAGAACCCCGCCCCCCTTATTAAACCCCGGGGCTTATTGGACATTTTTTCACAAATTATATTTACTACACATATTCAGCAAGTGTACAATATGAAAATAATCGGTCCACAAAAAAATAGTCCACTATACATTATTCTATTCTATTCTGTTCTAGTACATGTGCCTTATACATCAAATAAATGTAGATTCGTTAGCGGGGAGAGATAAATTTATATAACGTCTGCATAATATATTTTTGATGGGGTGGGGGGGGTCTTTTAGTAGGCCCCTGGATTACATTTGTTGGTATACTGGTATTTATGCTTTACTGTCTTTTTGACATAGTTTCTCATCATCTTTTTTTTTTGGGGGGGGGGGGAGGGCATATAGATACCCCTTTTTCAGCAACAATAAAAATAGTCATTACACATATGACAATGTCAAAGTGTCATTATGCATATTTTTATTGATACATGTAAATAGAATACTCTAAATACTAAAGAAAAATCAAAATCAAAAGCATTTATGATCTATAGAGGGGTTCTGTCCTCAAGCACATATACAAGTTTCTTGGTGTCAAATACGATTGTTTAAAACAACAAATAATACAAGAAGTCTGTGAGACAATGCTCACTAGATATACCCCCGCTCTGATGTAAATATTTATACTACCATGTTTATATACTAACCAATATCATATGAAAATGAATCCAACCATATGTCATGCACATACAAAGTATGTGCTTAAATTTCAATCATCTGTAATGAGTAGTTGCTGAGAAAACTGTGACCAAAATTTGTTATGGACAGACACATAGCTACACACACACCCTGAAAGACAGACAAACAGTATACCCCCCTCTCCTTCAAAGCAGGGGTATAAAAATGTAGCCTTATCTGAAAATAAGATCAAGACATACTGATTTATCTCAGGTTTATTTACATCTTATGTACAAAATTTTGTCAAATGCTGCCTTGTGGAGGTTACTTTTCATAGATCAACAAATGGTCTAAAGCTGTTAACATACTCTGTCAAGTTATTGTCTACTTTCATAGATCAACAAATGGTCTTAGACTGTTATTATAATCTGTCAAGTTATAGTCTACTTTAAATTCTATTTTTAAGTGACATATCTTGAACAAACTGAGTTTAACTAAATATAATTTTTGCATCATCAAACAATCAAAGTTTTTATCATAATTATTGCAAAAACAATTCTAGAAATTGAGCAAACTTTACAATGATGAAAAAGGGTCAGAAAGAAGAAGGAAATTTAAACACAAAGTCCATCCCCTTTAGCATCTTAAAAAGATTTAATTTACACTGTTTGCAATCTAAGAGAAATAGAAAACAAAACAAAAATCTTATAATAATCAAAATCCTTCAGCATGAAAATCATGTTCAGTAAGAAACTGACTATAATTAAAAAAAAATAATAATAAATACATATGTAACAAAAATGCCCCCCAAGCCCCCCCCCCCATAAGCTTAGAAAACAAACATACAACTACTTTCCTGATACTGTGACATCTGAAAGTTTTTTTTCTTTACAACAACTAAATGCAAAAATCTGCTTATAAAAAGAATTGGCCTCAATCAAATTTCCAAGAAGTTGCCAGTTTCCATACCTCTACCATTCCATGATGTGTACATGTACTAAGGAATCCATACGAAACACAAAGATCAACAAATGCTTGATATAAAATATTGCAGTTTGACACCCAAGCATCAGGGGAACAGAGAACAATGGTATGATATCTGAATATTCTGAGGGGTTTAAATCTAAAATGTCAACAACAAAAAAATCAATTTTACTACCAATTTGGTACTACATGTACCGTAAATTTACTAGACTTCGTTTTGAATTTACTAAATTAATTCAATTACAATGAAATTCTCAAAAGAGAATTATTCTTTATCAGAAATAGATTCTAATTTTCAAGAAATTTAAAATGTAAACCATTTAAACATGTTAAAGGATTTAGAACACCAAAAAGTGAAAGTAAAACAATATTATAAAGAACATAAGAAACACAATGAAAAACTCTAAAATATTTAGATATCTCTAAAATAAAACCAGTATATTTGTTTATACATACAAACTGACTGTACAGACAAAAAATGATAATATCAGTGAATAATAAATAGAAGTAACTAAAATTACATAATTCATTTTAAAAATTTTACATAACAAATAAGTTAGCAACATGTAACTCGACTTCTACAAATAAATACTGTACCATACCTCAGTTCAAGCTTCAAACAAAGGCACTTGGTTTTACCTTCATTCAAATGTACTAACTGTCAAAATATTTTACACAGAAGTTTAGTAGTACTCAGTCAAAATCATAATATTGTGATGTTGAATATATCTCACAGGCTTGTGTCTTAGCTGAATTTAAAATATTCTTTAATTTAACAAGTACATGTAAAGCCAATGTATACAAAATCTTGGATCAGCAGTTTTACTTGTGCTTGACAGAATCAAATTCATATACCCACTTTAACTTGATTTCTCCAAAATCAAAAAAGAATACACATAATTTGTTAAACCTTTAAAATTACCAAGATAAAACAAAAACGTCCAAACCACTACATACACATGTATTTCAGTTGGATTCATAAAAAGTTTAACAGATTTTTCATCTTGAAACACCCTCATCTCTCCCTCTTACCATCAAATAATTCTCTACAAACACCCTTTATTCTCTATTGGTATGTTCGAGTTCATAACAAAGCTATAACCAGGAGATACATTCTCAGAGCCCTTGTAATTGACCTTGGCTGAAGGTTGTGACTACACTGTATTTTATTTAGCATGACTGTACAATATTTGGTGGAAATTGATTTAATTGTAAAAGTTACTAATAGTTAGATTTCATTCAGGGCATTTATTAATGTTCTTATTTATGTATACCAGGGTATATGTGCCAGACATTTAACGTTGGACTAGAATCAATGGAAATTTCTCTCAATGAAAGGTGCTAAGAAGAATACACAACCAAATTAATGTAATATGATAACAGTGTCACAGTCATTTCCAACCTAAGTTCTAATAACTTGAGGGACAAGACATACCTTCTCATGCGTGACCTCTGACATTTCTCCTTCGGAGTCCTTGAACCCTGACCTTATCTCCAGTGACCTTGACATGTCATCATAACTCTCCCCACTGGTCATTGCAAAACTTTGTATTCAATAAAGATTTACAGGAGTTTCAAAATGAAAAGGGAAGGCAATCGAAACTAATTCCTACATAACGGTTTTAGAGCAGGAATGATTCCTACCTCACTATATCTTAGTTCTGGGGCTGAATGGACATGTAAAAACATTTTTTTTAAAATATTAAGTTTAACCCCCTCCTCTAACTAGGAGCTTCACAGCATCTAAAAGAGTTTTTATAACACAATGTAAGACCTTCACCATAAATCGGTTATCACTCATCTTCTACGTACTAAGATATTTAGTAATGACATCAAATCTAACAATTGTAGCCTCGGTTAAAAGACTTAACATCCTGAATTTATTTTTAAACAACTACCCTGAAATCAGTATCTTCCAGTATCTAATGCTTTCTTGTTACACATAGATTTATTATAATATAATTTATGCTTGGTTTCTGAAAAATATAATATAAGAAATAATGCTTTGCCTAACAAAAGCTTTTTTCTTATTAAACATTTACATGTATATTAATACACAATCTTGTTACATTACTACAATGCATTGATTGAATATTGAACAAATAATGCTGCAAATAAAAATACCCGTGCAACATCACACTTCAATAATGCAGAGCATACAGGAACAATAGATTGACAATGAAAATTAGCTTAACTGTCTGACTTAGTGCTCCAAAGCATTAACTACGCAAGGAATCCATGCTCCAAAGCATTAATTACCCAGCAATCATTGCTCCAAAGCATTGACTATGCAAGTAATCCAAACTCCAAAGCATGAAATACCCAAGGAATCCACGCTCCAAAGCATTAACTATGCAAGAAATCCATGCTCCAAAGCATTAATTACCCAGCAATCAATGCTCCAAAATGCTTATAAATTGCTGTTTATTTTTCTACATAATCTAGTTGAAATAAAGTCTAAACATATGATTCTTAAGTGCAGTACAACAATTACTTCATGGAAGTACATAAGAAACAAACACTTCATGGTTCAAGCAAACAGAATGAAGCTCTAGTTACAGTAAATGCTGGTATAGTCAATGTTTAGGAATAGAACAGTACAGTTACATGATATCAGCACACAACTTAAGCTAGGTGTAGGAATCATCCTGAGATCTGTTTATTGCTAGACTAAAATCTGCACAGCAGAAAAAATAACAACAGTGTTAATTCAAGTCCCCAACACTTCTCTTTCCCTTCAACAATGCTCACGTGAATGTGTAAGTTCAATGTCTATTTTCTTTTCTGATTCAGAAATAATTATGCTACCTTAAGGAATCAGTTACTGCAGAAGTACTTTTTTCTGTGTAGTATTAATTTACACTATGTACATGGTCAAAAATTTTTCTGGGAAATTTGTCTGATTGTACTTGATATACATTTAAGGCATGGAGTATGATTTAAGAAAATCTTCCTAATTTTCTACCCGCGGATTAAACAAAAATAGACATTCCGCGGAATTATGACACCATGTAAAAAAGTACATCTTCAGTAATTGAACATGCAAATGTGACACGTAACAAAAATGCTGTAAAAAGTTTAAACAGAATTCAAATGGTTTTAGAGCAGGAAGTCCAGAAATCCAAATTGGCTAATTCTAAGATTCAAATTTTTCAAAATATAATGACACAACAAAAGGAAGTCCTAATAATAACAAAAAATAAATACGATGCATACTTGGTGACCATAACAATGTAGAGAACAACTCTTAATTGAGGTTTGAAAGGTTGTTTTAGTCAGAACTTTAACACATCAGAACATGCCAAGCTTATTAATTTTCAGAATTTTCCCAAGTCTCTGCTTTGCTGTAGCCAATCCTTTCTTTGGCTTTTTGGCTGAAAAAAAAATGTTTACAATGTATCAAAGGTATTAAGAGAGTCATTATATTAAGTTAATATATGAGAATTGAAATTTAAAATTTACTTTGACAAGTAAAGTCCCCTATTTGTGCATGGTATAATTTGATAACTACTACAGCATATACCTTTGACAGAATCTGAACGTAAGGGTCCCTACTTTATGCTTCTTGTCAGTTATGCTTCTTGTCACTTGTGGATCAGTTATGCTTATTGTCAGTTATGCATCAGTTATGCTTATTAACAGTTATGCTTTTTGTCAGTTATGCTTATTGTTAGTTATGCGTCAGTTATGCTTTTTGTCAGTTACGCTTATTGTCAATTATGTGTCAGTTATGACAGGATGTTATACCTACATTATAACTAGAATGATATGAGTGTCTGCTTTATTTCTTACAGTACACACCTTTGACAGGATGTGATACCTACATTATAACTAGAATGATATGAGTGTCTGTTGTTTTATTTTCTTACAGTACACACCTTTGACAGGACTTGTGGGTTCTCCCTGAGTTGTGACTGGTTTGACTAGGTTTGGACGGAATGCTGAGCCTGTAACATAAGAACACAATATTAACCCCGAATTAAGATAATATATCATGAAATAAATTCATAATTATTTTACTGGTAGGTTTTGCATAAAGGATATGGTGATAACAAACAGTATTCAATATGAAAGTCAATAAAACATAACAAAATAGGAGTAAAGCAAAGACGGAACTCTAAAACATCAGAGGTGGGATCAGGTGCCTTGGAGGAGTGAGCATCCCCTGCTGACCGGTCACACGAATATGTATGCCTAGTTTAAGACTTATATGGAGCTTGACCTCTATTAGACCTTATCATATTTGATTTTTTTTTGGGGGGGGGGGGCAGTTTACCTGGAGCAGAGGAAGATAAGGCAGTTCCTGGTGTATTACTGGCGTCACTTTCTGAGAAACTCTCAGATTTTAATCGTTTTCGAGGCTTCTTTGGTTTCTGTAAGAGAAATCACCAGAATGTAAAAGTTTAACAAGCAGCTTAATGCAATTTCATCAGACAGAAAACTTACTGGTGAAATCTGTGTTATATATTTTTGGTGGCCCTTATTATAATAGTAAGTTACTTAGTGGTGGCCCCTATAGTAAGATACTTAGTGGCATTATATGTTATTTTGGTGGCCCCTATAGTAAGTTACTTACTGGTGGTGCCTGTGTTATTTTGGTGGCCCCTATAGTAAGTTACTTACTGGTGGTGCCTGTGTTATTTTTGGTGGCCCCTATAGTAAGTTACTTACTGGTGGTGCCTGTGTTATTTTTGGTGGCCCCTATAGTAAGTTCCTTACTGGTGTCTCTCTGTTATTTGTTGTGGCCTCTATAGTAAGTTACTTACTGGTGGTGTCTGTGTTTTTTTGGTGGTCCCTATAGTAAGTTACTTACTGGTGGTGCCTGTGTTATTTATGGTGGCCTCTATAGTAAGTCACTTACTGGTGGTGCCTGTGTTATTTTTGGTGGCCCCTATAGTCAGTTACTTACTGGTGGTGCCTGTGTTATTTTGGTGGTCCCTATAGTAAGTTACTTACTGGTGGTGCCTGTGTTATTTATGGTGGCCTCTATAGTAAGTTACTTACTGGTGGTGCCTGTGTTATTTTTGGTGGCCCCTATAGTAAGTTACTTACTGGTGTCTCTCTGTTATTTGTTGTGGCCCCTATAGTAAGTTACTTACTGGTGGTGTCTGTGTTATTTTTGGTGGTCCCCAATAGTAAGTTACATACTGGTAATTTTTTTTAATTTATTTATGGTGGCCTCTATAGTAAGTTACTCAATGGTGGCCCATATATAAGTTACTTAATGGTGGTCCCTGTATAAGTTACTTACGAGGCACTGGTGTTGTCTGTGTTACCGTATATACTCGCCTCTAAGTCGGTATTTTGAGAGTTAGATTTTAGTGCAAAAGTCTATGTTCGACTTATAGGCGAGTCATTAAAAGATTGGTATTTTTCTAGATTGCGAATCTTAGTATGCAACAGCTATTGTTGAACAAGGTCTGGATATATTATTATCATTTATGTATAATAAGATTATACATCAATTACATGTATTTTATATACATGTATTTAATAATTTTATTTTTTTCTAATCTTACTGATGCCTCCTATAGCTAGTTACTTACCGGTGGTGCTGGTTTATTTATTTTTGGTGGTCCCTATAATAAATTACTTACTGGTGGTCCCTGTATGAGTTACTTACCGACGGTGCTGGTTTATTTATTTTTGGTGGCCCCTATAGCTTGTTACTTACCGGTGGTGCTGGTTTATTTATTTTTGGTGGCCCCTATAATAAATAACTTACCAGTGGCCCCTATAGCTAGTTACTTACCAGTGGTGCTGGTTTATCTATTTTTGGTGGTCCCTATAATAAATTACTTACCGGTGGCCCCTAAAGCTAGTTACTTACCGGTGGTGCTGGTTTATTTATTTTTGATGGTCCCTATAATAAATTACTTACCAGTGGCCCCTAAAGCTAGTTACTTACCGGTGGTGCTGGTTTATTTATTTTTGGTGGCCCCTATAATAAATAACTTACCGGTGGCCCCTATAGCTAGTTACTTACCAGTGGTGCTGGTTTATCTATTTTTGGTGGTCCCTATAATAAATTACTTACCGGTGGCCCCTATAGCTTGTTACTTACCGGTGGTGCTGGTTTATTTATTTTTGGTGGCCCCTATAATAAATTACTTACCGGTGGCCCCTAAAGCTAATTACTTACCGGTGGTGCTGGTTTATTTATTTTTGGTGGTCCCTATAATAAATTACTTACCGGTGGTCCCTGTATGAGTTACTTACCGGTGGTGCTGGTTTATTTATTTTTGGTGGCCCCTATAATAAATTACTTACTGCTTGTTACTTACCGGTGGTGCTGGTTTATTTATTTTTGGTGGCCCCTATAATAAATTACTTACTGGTGGCCCCTATAGCTAGTTACTTACCGGTGGTGCTGGTTTATTTATTTTTGGTGGCCCCTATAGATAGTTACTTACCGGTGGTGCTGGTTTATTTATTTTTGGTGGTCCCTATAATAAACTACTTAACGGTGGTCCCTGTATGAGTTACTTACCGGTGGTGCTGGTTTATTTATTTTTGGTGGCCCCTATAGCTAGTTACTTACCGGTGGTGCTGGTTTATTTATTTTTGGTGGCCCCTATAGCTAGTCACTTACCGGTGGTGCTGGTTTGGCTGCGGCAGCTGCCAGAACTTGCTCCACTGCCTCTTTTTTCACCCCCTCCCTGTGGGGCCTCTCTCCCTTCACGGCAGACACATGGACTCGAGCTGTATACAACAGAAATTATCACATTGCACGACAGATAAAGTATAAGGTAGGGCTGGGACAATATATCGAGATATCGATATATTGTGATATATTTGAGGACGATACACATATCGATACATTTGAAAAAATATTGAAATATCGCCCAAAAAAATCCGACTTCTGTTTTTCTTTGTTTATTTAACATTTGGGATTCAATATATAAAAGAAATAAGTTAAATATGAATATAGATATGAAATAAATAATAATTAACACCACTTGAGAAAAATATTTTTGTTTTACAACATATAAACAACTATTTGAATAAATTATTCTCATTTGTAAAGAAATAATTTGTTTATTTCAATGCAAAAAAAGATTTTATAAGCAATTAAACATATCGTGATACATATCGTATCGTGGCTCAAATATCGTGATACGTATCGATGTAGAAAAAGTTGTATCGTCCCAGCCCTAGTATAAGGAGTAAGCAATTTTCTGCTTTGAGTTGTTTCATAAAAACAATTACCTCAAAATTACCAAGATTTTTTGTCAAAAGAGCTACTTGTTTTTGCATTTTTGAGAGTTAATTCAGAACTCAGTGATAAGACTGCTGACCAGGACTTTAATTTATAAACAGGACTATTTTTTAGAAAAGGTTTCATTATTTTTCCATCGATCTAAAATTAGATGACCCCTGACCTTTAGGATTCCAGTTGTCATCTCGAGATCCTTTGGAGTCCCGTACCTGCTCCATTTCATCATCCGACAAATCCAGGCCCGGATAAACTGTGGATTTACAAAAAAATCAGGAAGATATGTTACCATGGTTACATGTCAAAAGAATAATATGTACAGGTAAATCAAGAAGATATGTTATGTGTTAAGAGAATAATATTTACTGTAAAATCAGGATGAAATGTTTCATGTTAAAAGAATAATATTCACTAAAATTCTCGTAAAATTAGCAAACCATTGCACAAAACCTCAAAAAAATGATGAGGGAGGTGATTTGTTGTTTTTATCATACTGATTTAGCGATAAAAAGGGTCAATGAGGCACGCTTGGAAGAGATGAGAGAGGGCCTGAGAACCAAGAAATTAATTTTTTATGGCCTTATACACTGTACATGTGTCTTACCAGCTATCTTTACAATGTTAAACAGAAGTAGACTTACTGAACTCCTCATCTTTATAACATTGCTCTAGTTTGGCCTCTTCTTCCATTATCATCTGGTTCCTGTTCTGAAGTCGCTGAGCTGCGGTGGAACGTTTGTCACGGAACAGTTGCTGTCCATCACCCATCCGACTCATGGACAGCATGCCCTGTATAGCATCTCTCATACTGGGCGAGGAGGTCCTCCTTAGTTGTAAAAAACATAGTATTAGACTATAATTCTTAACAAAGAGACAATTCATGCTGGGGGGGGGGGCATCTTCCTTAATTGTAGATGTGGCTGTGAAACACTGATGCCCCCTCCCCCAAATGACAGCTCATGGTCAAGGTTAAAGTTTCTCTAAGTCAACCCAGTAAGCTTTCATTTTACTTTATCAACATCTATCAGAGATTTGTCTATGTTCAGAAATTTGATTTTAGTGATTGTTTCTAGGTTAAACTTTATTTTCTAGAAATAAATACTAGAAAACATGGGAAAAACAAGTATTCAAACAAGCAGGAATGGTGCTTTACAACAGTTAACCTTAGTGTAATAATAACACTTAAAGAAGCTCTTAATTTATTTTGGACAAAGTATCAGTGAACAGAAATAACTGTTGTTAACTCATATCAAAGTTCAATAATAAAAAAAAGACCATTATATGATTGTATAGTTTTATATTTGATTTTTCTTCTTGAATAATGACCGCATGTTTCATCAGAAAGGCAGGTGCATATTGGGACAATGCATGTGGATGGCATCTTTAAATTGATCAGCTTAGTCTCACATACTGTTATTAAAAAATACTTTAATCTATTTCACACTGTGTGTTTTACAGTGTAACTGCATATACATGTAACTGAATAGATTACAATGGTATTAGAATTTCTCAATGAGCAGTCACTGTGTTTTAGAGCTTCCTAAAAGAATATCTTTTTCAACAATAATTTCTATTGTATATGTATATTGATGTACATTTGCTGAGATGATAATGTAGAAGTACATTTTTCCACGTGGTATTAATTTACGCTATGTACGTGGTCAAAAATTTTCCATACTTAATATAAATGCAATGCATATAGTGCGAGTCTGAGAAATCTGTGTAATTTTCTACAGGCGGATCATGCAGAAATGAAGATTCCGAAGCATTATGAACCTGTGGAAAAAAGTACATCTACAGTATCAAAATTAAAATTGTCAATGTACTGTAGAAGTACTTTTTTCCGCGTGGTATTAATTTACGCTATGTACGCGGTCACAAAATTTCCGCAGAAATTTGTCAAAGCGTATTTCATATAAATGTAAAGCATACAGTGACAATCTAGAAAATCCGCGTAATTTTCTACCCGCGGATTTAACAGAAATTGAGATTCCGCGGAATTATGACCCCGTGGAAAAAAGTACGTCTACAGTATATCTCATACAGTAACCTTCGAAAAACATCAATGTACATCAGCATATATTTACATGTATCTCACTACTTACTCATTATCTCACTACTTACTCATTATCTCACTACTTACTCATTATCCACAATAAAATCGGTCTCTGTTCCGTAACCACTGGCCTCTAGAATGTCGGAGATGCTGCAGTTAAGTCCTCCCTGAATTGTGGGGAGGTTAGCGCGGGGGATTCCCGGGGATTCCTCTGGTTCACTTTGACTGGTTCCTGTCTCTGACTCCTGTGTAGTACTCTCGTGTCCCAACATGCTGTCATGGGGCAGGGTCTTACCAGCAACTGTGACAGAGCAATGTCTTAGATAAATTATAATGTCCAGGCCCCTGGATCATGAAACTTAAGCTAAAGTCAAAATATCTGTTAATAATGTTTTAGAAGTCAAGCAAATTAAAATTAAAATATTTTTTTTCAATATTGCTTTTTAGAAGTTGTTATCTGCAAATTTCTAAATAAATGAATACCGTATAAGTGGAAATTTTAGTGAGACGCAAATTTAGCGATTTGTCCTTAAAAATGGGTATTTTATTTTTAGCAAGATGTAATGTTAGCGATTTTAAAAAGATATCTTAAGAAGCTATTGCAAATAAATCGTGATTAATTTTTAGCGATACAGTGGGTTCCGTTTTAACAGATAGTCAGGTTGTCAGAATAATTTTATCCGTATAGCCGAATATTGGAATAGCCGATTGCAATATTTCCGTACATAACAATTTCAACAAGGTTGTATTACGTACCCTTTCGTTTTCGAATGTACCAAGTCAGGAAATGAATTATTTCACTTAATTTATGATAACAAGTTCAATGTGATTTTGTATGAATAATTTGTTTTTAACTGAAGTATAGAATTTATTTCCATCTCTATAAATCTTGTTAGCACCAGGCACCTGTTTACATTCATCCCATTCGTTGATGGCATCCATTTTGGAAAAACGGAAGTTGATTGAAAATTATATTACGTAAACTTTTTTTTCCGGATTGCTGATTAATATATTTATTGTTTCATCTTTACTTGTATGTTATGTCACTTTCATTGATGGATTTAATTTTCAGACATATTTATACAGAGTGCATGTGTTTTAATTCTTAAAATTGCACTTAAAAGTGAACACATATTCAACTAAATGACCAAGCGCTACCATTTAACAGAAAGTCTAATTCTGATAATTTTAATTTAATGTCCTCTTCAAGCGAAGTAACTTTCAAAATTGAACAGTTCAATAATTAAAACTTCACACCAAACAAAATTGCACACAAGCCAATTATCAATGATCTAAATTAACACCCAAGTCGGTCACCACCATTGTTATCAAAACATATCGATCTAGTGTGCCCACTGTTAACACAGGTAAGGTTGCTCGCCCGCTCAGCAAGCAAACTTGTGTAAACAAAGGATTTACATACAGAAGGTAGAGGTGTGAACGAGACAATTATTATGAAAATCACTATGATAGGCGAAATTTTTGTATCAGATAAAACGAAAATCCCATATTTTCCTATCAGAATATCAGATGAAATTATTAATAAATATATAAGAAATGGTTTTGTGCTCTGATATTGTATCAGATTAGCCGAAATATTCGTTTAACCACTATCTGATTAAATGGAATACACTGTATTCAATTTTAGCAATCTTCACACCCTCGCCAATAATGCCAAAATTAAATCCTCGCCAAAATTTCTACTTATACGGTATTTTATTCGAGATTGAAAATTTGATTTAAGTCTATATTTGTTTCATGAACCTTGGGCCAGGCCTTTAAAATCAAAGACACTTGCCTCTTCAATAGAAATATAACTTGGAAAATTTTCATATTTTCATGGTTTTACACTAATACAAGACAACTTGAGTTTGAGTGACCCTGGATTTACACTAATACAAGACAATCCAGTGAGCCTGGTTTTAAACTTACAAGACAACTTGAGTTTGAGTGAGCTGGTTTTAACATTTTCAAGATAGCTTGAGTTTGAGTGAGCCTGGTTTTAGACTTACAGGACAACTTGAGTTTGAGTGAGCCTGTTTTAAGAGACTTTTACAACTTGAGTTTGTGTGAGCCTGGTTTTAAAGACTTAATTACAAGTCAACTTGAGTCTGAGCGAGCCTCATTCAACACTTACAAGACAACTTGAGTTTGAGCGAGCCTGGTTTCATGGTAGATGCTGAGGAGGGAGATCCCATTGGTCGTTTATTTTTTCGTGGGTTTTCGTCGACCACCAGGTTGTCTGTGTCGCTGTCATTTTCCTCATTTTCCCCGCTCTGACTCGAGTGACCTGATCTTCCTTTAGCATCACTGAAATATACAGAGTAAATAACGTCTGATAATTTGTCACACATTTTGTATCACTGCTTTGATGTAAGTGACCAAACCATCTTTTAGCATCACTGAAATATACAGTGTAAATAAATGAAAATTTGTTACAATTTTTAGAATCACTGCTCTGATGTAAATCAAGGGTCATTTGTTACACTTTTTGTTATCACTACTTTGATCACTGAAATATATTATTACTTTTTAAAATTGCTAGTATCTCTGCTATAACTTAAGTAATTAGATGACATCTCCTTTAGCATTAAAAATTAAATGTGTAAATACCATCTGTTAATATACAGAGTTGCTTTAATTTGCAATAATATTGTTCTTATATCTGCTCCAACACATTCAGCTCAAGCTAACCTGATGACCTTGACCTTTGACACATTCAGCTCAACCTTACCTGATGACCTTGACTTTGAAACATTCAGCTCAACCTTACCTGATAATCTTGCCCTTTGACACTTTCAGTTTGAGCCCTATTCCTAGATCTTCTTTCTCTTGTTTGATATCTGGATCTAACTTCAGGAATTTCTCCTTCTTTGTCACAGAATCTAAATATGCCCCTGCCTTCGGAATTCTGACTTTTAATGAAGCTGAGTTAGAGTCCTCATCCTACAAAATAAATCAAACATAAAATACTGTCCTCAAAAATAAATTGTCTTTGAATTAAAGTGTTTCCATGCTAATTGTTTGCAATTTTTTGCTTTACTTTCACTTATTTTATAAACATGTATGTAAATTTACTCACCGTATTTAAGTATGACTGTTTGACTTACCGTATTTGAGTATGACTGTTTGACTCACTGTATGACTGTTTGACTCACCGTATTTGAGTATACTGTTTGACTCACCGTATTTGAGTATACTGTTTGACTTACCGTCTTTGAGTATACTGTTTGACTCACCGTATTTGAGTATGACTGTTTGACTACCGTCTTTGAATCTGTTTGAATAAAATGACTGTTTGACTCACCATATGACTGTTTGACCGTATTTGATATGACTGTTTGACTCACCTATTTGATATACTGTTTGACTTACCGTCTTTGAGTTTTTTGACTTACCGTATTTGAGTATGACTGTTTGACTCACCGTATTTGAGTATACTGTTTGACTTACCGTCTTTGAGTATACTGTTTGACTTACCGTATTTGAGTATGACTGTTTGACTCACCGTATTTGAGTATGACTGTTTGACTCACCGTATTTGAGTATGACTGTTTGACTCACCGTATTTGAGTATGACTGTTTGACTCACCGTATTTGAGTATGACTGTTTGACTTACCGTATTTGAGTATGCCTGTTTGACTCACCGTATTTGAGTATGACTGTTTGACTCACCGTATTTGAGTATACTGTTTGACTCACCGTATTTGAGTATACCGTCTTTGAGTATACTGTTTGACTTACCGTATTTGAGTATGACTGTTTGACTTACCGTATTTGAGTATGACTGTTTGACTTACTGTATTTGAGTATGACTTGCGCTCCTCATCCATGGCCTGTAGAGCTTCTGTCGTGTGTTGATGCAGAAGATCAATGTTCATCATCTGTTTCTTTGTTGGGAGGTTCTTCTTTTTCTTTTTTTTCTCGCCGCGGACTTTCTCCACCTTTAACCTGTCTCCTTTCGTCCTCAGTTTCACTGGACTTACTTTAGGCTGAAATATAATTCCATAAAACTTAATTTTCTGTCAAATTTTTCATTTTTTCCCCCTAAAAAACAGAATTTTAGCAATTATTTAATTTTGGCATTATTAGCAGATTAGAGATTGCTAAAATTGAATATTGCAGCTAAAAATTAAGTGCGTTTTATATGCAATTGCTTCTTTAGTGAGCATTTTAATATTGCTTGAATTACTTCTCGTTAAAATTTCATACCAATTTTTAAGATAAATCTCTAAATTTGCATCTTGCTAAATATCCACTTATAAATTATACAGTATGCCACTATAACACATTTTACATCAGGTCCTTTAAATTGTCAAAAATTTGATTTATTTCTAAAATTACATCCATTTGCTTGAAAGTACTCAGCATTCTTCTACAAATTATTAGTGTTGTCAAATCGGTTGAAACTCAGAATCGATTAATCGGTAACATCGGTTGCCCCTAACCGACTGATCATCGGCCAATAATCGAATTGGTAACCCTTTGCATAAAATAGGCATTAGATTTTATAAAGATTAGAATTTTATTGTTAAATAATGTAAGTAAAGGTACATTGTACAGATCGAAATTCTAAAAACAGTATATATGCAGTTTGATTAACGATTTCATTAATACAGATTTTTGCATGATTAGGAATTACTTGGCCTGGGAAAAGTAAGCATTGACAGATCAGGTTTTAATCTACATGATCATCTAAAATGTATATGGAATTAATTTTTTAAACAGTTATAAGACATTTAATATTGCAAATTCCTTGTGATTCCGTATGAAATGACAGGTGAATTCCCCCAAATACTGAAAATTAATATATTTTATTTAAACAAGACAGTAGTTTAGTTTCTTCAGTTTAGAAATACAAATATCATTATCTTTTGATTTATTCTAAACAGATTATAAGTACATGTATTCTAAAATAGTAAAGGACAACTCTTGAAAGATATATATTTTGATAACAAGAGCCTGTTCTTGAAATAAAAGTGAGAAAACTGTAAAAAAGATATGTGCTGAAATATACCGATTAATCGATTGTTAAAATCTCCAATCGATTGTTTAAAATCGACAGCCTTTCCGACCGATCATCGATTATAAATCGATCATCGTGACAACACTACAAATTATATATTATTTCATATCTAGCCAAAACACATTAATTTAAAAAAAATGAATAAAGAAAATAAAGTTTTTGGGTGTTAAATTAACCAGTATCAGAGAGTATACATGTATAAATAACCCACAAATGTTTTACATGTAATTCTAGCAGAGTCAAACTTTTACAATGATCTTAATATCTTGCCTAACGTTACACAAACTGAGTATAATTATATAGGATAAAAACCAATTTACAGGAGATATTTTTTTTTTTTGAAATACCGAGGTGTCGAAGGCCCGGATTTCCTTCTGTAGGTCCTTCAGAAGACGCCCGTAATTCAGGTGCTCAGGAACATCGTGCTTGGCATCCTTAAGGAACTGTCAAAAACACACAACATTTGATCATCACACTGGCGTAAGGCAAGGTGGTCCACACTGACCACAACTCTTACATCAAATCTTTGAAGGTATCAATTAACATGAAAATATTTTTCAATAAGATCAGTTCTTGTGTAATCAATCAGAATCTAAAATACTTGCTACAAGTAAAAAATATATAATTATTTTTACTTTCAGTTTATAGAATTTCAGAGAAGCAGCTGACCCTTGAACCCAATCTTGATTACATATTTCTGGTTCTCTACAGAAGCAGTAATGGTTAGAAGCACTAGGACAGTCAATCTATACTTCACTGTGTCAAAAGTTAGTTGTACAAGTGTATCATAGAAATAATCCTAAAAAGTTTAACCTGACAGCTGATTTTAACAAGGATTCTGAAATGCCTACTCAACACGTAAGGGTTCTCTGATCATGTGTAATAATATTTTTTCCTAATTTCCAAATGCAAATCACCACCCTTTATTTAATTCTTAAATTTAATGTGAATAGGAGAGTCTTGTTTTAAGAATTCTGAAAATGATAAAAATAACAAAGAGACATGTGTCCTTCATCCATCAATAAATAAGTTCTGTACACCATATAATGTTTAAATTACAATTAAAATTAAGAATTTGAAAATAAACATTTCCAATATTTCTTACTGTGCTTATATTTCACCAAGTGTGATTCAAAAAACAAACATAGGTAATCAAAGATTATGAAGCTCACCTCGACGAATGTTATCAGTTTAAGTAATGCAAATCTCACATCATATTTTCATAATAGTTAGTATTTATCCTGACAACAATATTCATGTGCAAGTTCTGTTTAAATAGGTCTTAAAGTTCATTGGGGATTGACCTGTTCCAAAAACTTTAACCTGGTCACTCATTTGGAAAATGTACGTCAGATCCAGCATCCGAAGCAAGTCCAACCTTAGATGCGTCATCCATACAAGTTTGGTTCAGGTAGGGCTTACAGTTTCCTAAGAATAACCTAGTCACTTGTCTGGAAAATGCAGGTCAGATCCAGCATCCGAAGCAAGTCTGGTAGTGTCCATCCCTAGATGCATCATCCATGCAAAGAACTATCTACGATATATTGCATATCTTTGCCCCCACAAAAGTCAAATTTTTAAAAATTCTTGAAATGTGCTGAATTCTATAAATTGTATGAGAAATATAAATCAACAGAACATATTATAGTTTCAAAGTAACTTACTGACAATTTTTGCTTTTATGACATCACAAACTAGTCTGATTTTATATCATTTTTTAGAAAGAGGACAAAACGGACAAAATTTCAAAAATTTTACCTTTAAAATTTATAGAGTGCAAGTTTGCTCAGGAACAATTTTTACATATTTCATGATATTATCATTATACACATTATATCACAATATTGAGCCTGATCAGACCTGCGCTCAGTGATTTTTACTCAAAATATTGATGTAATAAATATACATTTTTCTGTCTAAATCATGGAAATTTTTAATTTACGTCATTTTCGTGACGTCATTACTTATGAAAATATTCAGTGCTTTGAAGTCAGCAGATATCCTCCTGTTTAAGAACATAATTAAATATTTCTCCATCAAAGTTTGATTTGGGGGGCAAATGTTGATTTTTACCGAATAAAGTTCATTGGTCCGGGTAGGGCTTGTGGTTACTTGTGTTTAGACATGCTCAAAAACTTTAACCTGGTCATTCATCTGGAAAATGTAGGTCAGATCCAGCATCTGAAGCAAGTCTGGTAGTGTACATCCCTAGATGCATCATCCATGCAAGTTTGGTCCAGGCAGGGCTTATAGTAACTTGGGAATGGACTTGCTTCTAAAACTGCAACCTGAGATGCCAACGCCAACAGTATAGCATAAGCTCATCTCGACCTCATCGAGGTGAGCTAAAAATACAAAGTAGAAAATGTATATGTTTCTAGTTTCTTTGGTGTCACATTCAACATAATATACAAAAAAGAACTCCCTACATTCTATTGGTTAGCAGAGTACAAAGCACCCATCAAGCCAAACATTGGACGTCCATTTCATGCAGAGGGTAATTTATTTGTAGCTTTGACTAGAAATAATAAGACAGGTGATATAAAATTTTCAGCCTAACCACTGAAAAGCTGTTATGTTTTCTTTTTCTTAATTAAATCTAACAAGCCACACAGGCCATCTATGATCCAAGAAAGATTTTGAGACAATTTAACAAACATGTGTGATGTGCAAAAAGTGCTTTAAAAAATTTGCCTTAATCTGTTGGAAAGAAAAGTTCTGTTAATTTGTCCATAACCAAGATAACAAAACAAATTAAATTTCTTATAAAAATATCAATTATGGTACTAAAACAGTAATTTGGTAATATTTCAAATATCATATGGCCACCATGCATCATGCATCAATGACAATGTGACAATATTAAGTTTCTGGTTTAAATACAACAGATTACAGTAAAATACAGCAAACAGGTGCCCATAGTGTTGAACACAAACTATCACAATTACTGCTCTCATTGTGTATATGGTCATTTATGTAAACTCTTATCACTCGTACTTGACATCTCTTTATTGCAGGGAATGCTTATTCCTACATGGCACCTGATCCCATGTCTGATGTTCAACAGAATGGTATTTTTCCTGCTACTCGTTTGTGTTGTTTTTGAATGGAATTTTATGAACTTGAATACTATTAATTATCTCCATATTTCAGGAAATATCCATTTGCGTAGATTTCTTTATTTATAAAGCTATCTGTAGAACTCCTTTACATATAAATTATCGGTCTTGAATGTATGAAGAAGTAAAAGAAAAAACTTGTTTAGGCAAAGAGAAGTGCAAAGAATATAACATCAAACTTTTTTTCTCTACATATACTGTGAAATCACTAATTTTTCATGGGGGTTAAATTTTCATTGTTTTCAAGATATGAAGAGACCTACAAATTAATGTATACCACAAAATGCATTTTTTTAAACATATAATACTACTGAACAGTTCTTCAACCACAAAATCAAATTCCAACGAACCAATGTATTTTCCTCAAACCACGAAAATTTCCCCCCTCGAAAATATGTGAATTTATAGATATTGTAAAAAGGGGAAAATACAATGAAAAAAAATTCTCACAAAAAAGTTAACAAAAAATTAAAAAATATAAAAATGTATGAAATCCACACCAGCCCAGTGAAGAAGCAGAGCTGTGAACAGTTGATATAAAAAAAAAAACGATACAAATCTAGAAGAATACAAAAAGCTGTACAGAAGACACAGGGAATACAGAGTAATACAAGCAGCCTACAGGTAAAACTCACGAGAAAGGAGTTGTTTAACTGTAAAAGGAAATATCACACAGATTTACTCAAAGTACAGAAGGACTGTACACTTGAACAGATTTTAATTATGCAAGGCATACAGGTTGTGGAATCTAGAGTTATTAAAGCTAAGGGGCCTGTGGGCTGGAAGATTGTCGAGTATTGTACATTTCTTTTATTTATCTGGACAGTGGACAGTAAAGAAACAGCTAAGAGAAATATATTGTTGGCATGCTTAAGGCGGCCTGACCTGCTTCAAGATAAGACGGATATCCTGCTTAAGGTGGTATGTGACATTGCATAGAAAGAAACAAACATTTTTTCTTACTTTATAACATTTTCAAAATTAAATTTAGTGTACCTGTTGTAGTAAATGAAATGTTTGTTGACAAAAATCTTTCTTTTTTTTTTTTTTTTGGGGGGGGGCATGTCTCCCAATCTTTTTTAAAGTTAATGTCATATTCTTCTGTAAATCTGTGGGGAATAACATGTACATTAGAAAATAAGTGGGGCATGTATCAACAAAATAGAGTACATTTAATATGTCATTAAAATAAAGAAAATTTGAATTCCAAATGTTGAACTTACATCCATCAGTAGTGAGCCATTAATCAAATTGAAAAAAATAAATACATAAATAATGTGCAAGAACTGAACTGAATCCTTCCAACCCTATGAGGATATATGAATTTGTATTAATTGTTTATTAAATTTCATAAACATCTTAGAATGAATAAAGACAATTTCAAAACTCTGGGAAACACTTAATGTAAACATTACCCCTCAAACAATCTGTCCATTGTGTTACCATTAACAGAACCCAGATTACGTGGTGACCCATTTCCCATAATTATATACACAGATTAATTATCAGTCTTTCTAGCCAGAGTTGACCTTGACCTCTGCTGATACTTACATCTTTCCGCTGTGTCCAAGACTTAAGGTGCATGGCCAGAGATTTGGCGCCAGTCAGTAGATATTCCGGGGGACGCCTGCCATCCTCGAGGTAATCTATCAGTAAAAATAAAACCCCATTCATTCTCAAAAGGAAGACTCACATCAATTCTTATGCTCAAGATCTACATGCCTATTGAAAACAAAAAATAACTAGTAAAGGGCAAATGGACAAAAAATAAAATAGATTATTGGTAATAAACATCCAAGCATAACTGATATCATTTTTTTTTTATAGAGATGTACACAACATTTATTTTGTATTTGATTAGAAGCATTTAATAGTTTGTAATGACAGGCAATCATAAGCTGTAGTACTATACAATCACTGTTACCCTTGATGACATCCAGCACATGTTTAGCAGCGTACCAATGCGTCGTCTCAAAACTCGGAAATAAATACTTAGATGGGGTCTTGATTCTTCTCTCTATGTCATATACCCTGAAAAATAAAATATATACATTACATATAAGGCATCCAGTAAAAACCAAAATAATATGGGGGTAACTCAAAGTTAAAACAAGAACTAAAAAAATTAACTCATTGAAAATTTCAGTAGCATATGTGAAGAAAATGATGCAAAGACCCCAGCGAAAAATCTTGAAAAATGTGATCTAGATGTAACAATTTTATTAATAGCCTGGATTTCATTACTTGTGTTTCCATCAATCAGTTGACCTGTCCTCTATATGTTTCATATTTCAAAGTAAGAGTCAACTTCGGAAATGGTGTAGTTTTTAAAGAATAATTTTCTTAAATCAATATAAATTTAAGTTGAAGCTAAATCGACAATCAAACATTTAAAAGTCTAAAATAAAGTCTGAACTATCTTTGAAAATGTTCTTGTGACAAAATATGAACACTCTGTAAACCAAATTAACTTCTAATTTTCCATGAATTAATCATAAATTCTTACTGCAGCTGTAGTGAAATGTTGAAGTCATGGAGGAAATTCCCGCCAAACACGAGAGAGTCGATCGGCGTGAAGACGGCGTGGATCCACCCCGTGGGGATAAAGAGGGTCTGCCCCTGCTTAATGACGCATTTATAACATACGTCAACCTGGTCTCCGAAAAACGTCTCACTCTGATTGGAGGACGACACCCAAGACTCGTACAAAGAGAGATTGGCTTGTGTGGGCCGCACCAGGTAGAAAATCTTCTCACCCTGGAATCAATCCAATTGTTTACATATACATCAGAAAAAAAATATACAGTATACATGCAGCGTTATTTTTCACCCCATGTTAATTTTTGCCCTTTTGAACTTGTGGACAATTTGCCCCGTTTTAAATTTGCACAGTCAAATTTCTGTTTAAGAAATTATGAGGTGTAATTTGAATTCGCCCATTTTAAATTTGCCCAATCAAGGAGAGGGGGAAAGGAGCAAAAAAATGGGGTGAAAATTTCCTTGTATACAGTATCTAAGATAAGCCAGTGTGTGTGTTTTCATGTCAATAACTTCCAAAAGCAAAGTAATTTAATTCAAATTTAATACTAAGGATCACTATATATTCGCAACATTATATTTTTTGAATCTGTATATATTCGTTAATATACAAGAAGAAAATTTTCGCTAGTAAGCAGACTCGTGTGACAATGCGCAAATAAAATTCTAACAAACACAAAAAATTTACAATGGACCTTTAGATATCCGGACGCCAGATATCCAGATGCTTCAGTATCCAGACAATTTTTCTTCCAAGCAGAATTTTTTAATGTTATTCTGTCTTGTTAAACTGGCAATTCAGATATCTGGATGCTTCATATATCCAGACAAATTGACTAGGAACCAAAGCATCCAGATAAATGAGGCTCCACTGTACAGTAATTAACAATTCTTTGATAAGAACATGGTACACTCCATAGAAACTGATAATTCATAGCGATTTTACACTTAACAATAATTTGTGTTTGATAAGTTTTGTACAGAGGTAAATTTTCTTATCTTACCCTGAGGATGTGATACCAGACCGAGGTGCCCCCGAAGTCGATGTGGAAGTCTGTGAAACTGTCCCGGACCCCCATCAGACAGTACTTCTGGACCTCGGGTCGTGTGTACGTACAGTCCTCGGGGAGCTGCTCAGGGAAATAATTACTGACCCAACTCAGGTCACGGACAATGGAGGGAGGGGAGACCAGCTCTGACATCCTGTAACAGATAAACAGAGGGAGAAATAATTACTGACCCAACTCAGGTCACGCACAATGGAGGGAGGGGAGACCAGCTCTGACATCCTGTAATAGATAAACAGAGGGAGAAATAATTACTGACACAACTCAGGTCACGCACAATGGAGGGAGGGGAGACCAGCTCTGACATCCTGTAATAGATAAACAGAGGGAGAAATAATAACTGACCCAACTCAGGTAACAGACAATGGAGGGAGGGGAGACCAGCTCTGACATCCTGTAATAGATAAACAGAGGGAGAAATAATTACTGACCCAACTCAGATCACGCACAATGGAAGGAGGGGAGACCAGCTCTGACATCCTGTAATAGATAAACAGAGGGAGAAATAATTACTGACCCAACTCAGATCACGCACAATGGAGGGAGGGGAGACCAGCTCTGACATCCTGTAATAGATAAACAAAGGGAGAAATAATTACTGACCCAACTCAGGTCACGGACAATGGAGGGAGGGGAGACTAACTCTGACATCCTGTAATAGATAAACAAAGGGAGAAATAATTACTGACCCAGCTCAGGTCACGCACAATGGAGGGAGGGGAGACCAGCTCTGACATCCTGTAATAGATAAACAAAGGGAGAAATAATTACTGACCCAACTCAGGTCACGGACAATGGAGGGAGGGGAGACTAACTCTGACATCCTGTAATAGATAAACAGAGGGAGAAATAATTACTGACCCAACTCAGGTCACAGACAATGGAAGGAGGGGAGACCAGCTCTGACATCCTGTAACAGATAAACAGAGGGAGAAATAATTACTGACCCAACTCAGGTCACGCACAATGGAAGGAGGGGAGACCAGCTCTGACATCCTGTAACAGATAAACAGAGGGAGAAAAAATTACCGACACAACTCAGGTCACGGACAATTGAAGGAGGGGAGACCAGCTCTGACATCCTGTAATAGATAAACAGAGGGAGAAATAATTACTGACACAACTCAGGTCAAATGGTCTGTTAGGTTTATTGTACGAGTGACTTACTTTGTATTGTATGTGTCTGTTAGGTTTATTGTACGAGTGTCTTACTTTGTATTGTACGAGTGACTTACTTTGTATTGTATGTGTCTGTTAGGTTTATTGTACGTGTGACTTACTTTGTATTGTATTTGTCTGTTAGGTTTATGAGTGTCTTACTTTGTATTGTAATAGGTTTATTGACTGACCCACTTTGTATTGTATGTGTCTGTTAGGTTTATTGTACGAGTGACTTACTTTGTATTGTACGAGTGACTTACTTTGTATTGTATGTGTCTGTTAGGTTTATTGTACGAGTGACTTACTTTGTATTGTATGTGTCGTTAGGAGACTTCTGACTTTGTATTGTATGGTTAGGTTTACTTAGCTTTGTATTGTACTTGTCTGTTAGGTTTATTGTACGTGTGACTTACTTTGTATTGTATGTGTCTGTTAGGTTTATTGTACGAGTGACTTACTTTGTATTGTATGTGTCTGTTAGGTTTATTGTACGAGTGTCTTACTTTGTATTGTATTTGTCTGTTAGGTTTATTGTACGTGTGACTTACTTTGTATTGTATGACTGTATTGTATGTGTCTGTTAGGTTTATTGTACGACCTTTGTAGCTGTATTTGTCTTACATCCTGTAATAGTATGTGTCTGTTAGGTTTATTGTACGAGTGTCTTACTTTGTATTGTACGTGTGACTTACTTTGTATTGTACTTGTCTGTTAGGTTTATTGTACGTGTGACTTACTTTGTATTGTATGTGTCTGTATTGTATAGTCTGTTTATTGTACGAGAAATAATTACTGACACAACTTTGTATTGTACTTGTCAACTTGTATTGTACTTGTCTGTTAGGTTTATTGTACGTGTGACTTACTTTGTATTGTACTTGTCTGTTAGGTTTATTGTACGTGTGACTTACTTTGTATTGTATGTGTCTGTTAGGTTTATTGTACGAGTGTCTTACTTTGTATTGTACGTGTGACTTACTTTGTATTGTACTTGTCTGTTAGGTTTATTGTACAAGTGACTTACTTTGTATTGTACTTGTCTGTTAGGTTTATTGTAGGAGTGACTACAAGTGACTTACTTTGTATTGTACGTGTCTGTTAGGTTTATTGTAGGAGTGACTACAAGTGACTTACTTTGTATTGTACGTGTCTGTTAGGTTTATTGTAGGAGTGACTACAAGTGACTTACTTTGTATTGTACGTGTCTGTTAGGTTTATTGTAGGAGTGACTACAAGTGACTTACTTTGTATTGTACGTGTCTGTTAGGTTTATTGTAGGAGTGACTACAAGTGACTTACTTTGTATTGTACGTGTCTGTTAGGTTTATTGTAGGAGTGACTACAAGTGACTTACTTTGTATTGTACGTGTCTGTTAGGTTTATTGTACGAGTGACTTACTTTGTATTGTACTGATGACTTACTTTGTATTGTACAGTTAACTTACTTTGTATTGTACTGATGACTTACTTTGTATTGCACGAGTGACTTACTTTGTATTGTACGAGTGACTTACTTTGTATTGTACGAGTGACTTACTTTGTATTAGAGAACTCCAGACTGATGACGTTGTACACTTTGTGTCTGTTTGGACTGTTATAATACTCAGTCCACTCTGTGACTTACTTTGTATTAGAGAACTCCAGACTGATGACGTTGTACACTTTGTGTCTGTTTGGACTGTTATAATACTCGGTCTACTCTGTGACTTCGTGTTAGAGAACTTCAGCCTTATAACGTTGAATACTTTGTGTCTGTTTGGACTGTTATAATACTCGGTCCACTCCCTCATCAACATTTTATAATCCTCTTGCTTAGATACATCTATAACGTCTATCTCTCTCATCGAGCCTAACAAAACAAGACAAAGGGAAATTAGGAATGTCCGCAAGAATACAGCTATGAACTCTATATTTGTGGCTCATAGGGATGATATGAAAGTCATGTAAATACTTGAAACCAACTTTAAATTTATTCGCAACGACTTTGTTTTGTGATTTACTGGGGTTTAACGTGTTGGCAATGATTAATTTACTAATTTAATTTAATCTAATAATTGCTTACTTTAAGGACAGGTTCATGGCGAGAAATATTCGCCATGACAAGGCTCTCGCAAACCTTGCAAAAAATTTCTGGTGCGCATATAAAAGTTGGTTTACAGTCAAAAAAGCAAACATTTCTTGTATTGTCTTGTATTGTGATAGAGTACAATTTTTTTGTGTATTGTTGTTTGCCAGTATATTGTTACATCAATTCTACATAGCAATAAATTAAATTGTATATTAAATAAATTTAAACTTTACTTCTAAACATTGGAATAAATAATGTTTTTAAACCATTAATTATAGGAAACCAAAAATGAAATTTATTTTTTTTTTTACTGATATATGAAGATTTGTTTTATTTTCAAAGTAATCTTCAAATTCTCTTAAAAAATGCTGTACATAATCAAAATCCAAAAGCAAAATATTAATACAATAAAAAAAATATCCGTTTCTGACCCACCGACATTATTTTCGACATCCTGTATGGAAAACTGCGAAGGGGGAACAACCAGTCCTAGACCGTCTTTCTTCTCCACGACGATTGGGACATTAAATCCGTGCTTCTTAAAGTATTCTATATTTAACTCACTCCCATGGAGCCGTGCTATAGGAATCTCGTCAGCACTGAAAAAATAATCAAAGTACTGAAAGCACTCATTTTCAAACATGGGAAATTGATGTTGCTGGGATCTATAATAAGAGCATGAATAAAATTAATGAAATGAAAAATGCTATTTCAAAAAGATCCTATTTGATTTATTTCATGACTTCCTATTCTTAGCTTTATCATTTCTAGGCGTTTTGTAAGGCAGTTGATTCCTGACTGGAAAATTAATTAAAATAGGAGAGAGACATTTTAAGTCTCAATCTCCCATAATAAAAAGTCGCCTGGGACTATTTTCCAATTGATGGCAAATTCCATTGCCTGACGCCAGAGGCTAGTGAATTTTAGGGGTTGGCCAGTGAAATTTTATCAAACACTTGCCCATGGGCAAGTAATTTATCAAAAATAAAATCAATATGTTATCCTTGGAGATAAAGCTGGGCAAAGGGGTTTGCATGATCTTCTCTGTATTTGCCTTCCTTTTTTTTCAATTTATAAATACAGTATGTTTATGGTCAGTCAGCATGGACAGGGGTGTGATGAAAATCCGTCATTTTTAAAATGACGATTTTTCGTCATGAAATAAAATATTTATTATGACTTAAACTCGTCATTTTTTAGAAAATGACGAAAAACAGTCATTAAAATTTAGAATGTTTCTAGAATATCGAGTTACCTTTGTTTGAAAAATGTTAGATCCACCAACCGTAAAGAAGACAAAAAACATGGTAAACAAACTTAATTTCTCTAATACAGTTGACGACAATACTGGTTTTGTTGACAGTAAAAATTTCCCACACAAAAACAAGAGTAAAAGAGTTATTTGTCAATTTATTTGCATTAAATAGCAAAGAAGACGAAAATGACAACATTTCGTCTATTTTCAAAATAGAGTGTCTGGGTGCACTGGAATATCTCGCTTGTTTTATGGGGCGCACTATTTTTAATTACTTTAACTTTTTGTCAAGTCTTTTCTCTACACGTATGTGTTCTTCCAAGCGGTTTACTATATGTTTTTATAATGCTAAAAGCCATGTAAAAATGGGTTTCATAAAAGCAAAATTCGATATCATTTTACCGTGAAAACCATGACTTTCACCTTCTATGTGTGATGTTGCTAACACACGTGGTCTGTAGAAGTCTGTGACCAGGATAAATTAAACTGTATGTTTAAAACACTTTATACTTTTAAATTTTCGATGTTAAACAACCGTGGTAGAGGCATTTTGTACATAAATAAAAATATGGCGAAAATTAAGAACCCAACAAAAACCAAATTATTTTTTGTTATCGATATCAGAAAATTTTGTTGGTTTGAACTTATAGCAAAGGAAGAGAAAGTACTTTTAGCAGCTGGGATTTGAAACTTTATAAACAGCATTCAATAGAATAATGATCGTTGATAAAGTCTCTTTTTGTTCTTAGTGTAGTCTACTTGTGTGCCAAGTTAAACTGAAATCAGACCAAAACTGTAGGAGGAGTAGCATTTTGAAACAATTTTACAGACATTTCTATTTTTAGTAACCACGGCAACACCGTTCGTCAAAACTAAAATTCGATATACAGAATTATGTATCTTACTGTACTCTACTTGTGTGCCAAGTTATACTGAAATCAGACCAAAACTGTAGGAGAAGTAGTATTTTGAAACAATTTTACAGATATTTCTATTTTTAGTAACCACGACAACACCATTCATCTAAATCAAAAACCAATATACAGAATTATGTATCTTAGTGTATTCTACTTGTTTGCCAAGTAATACTGAAATCAGACCAAAACTGTAGGAGGAGTAGCATTTTGAAAGAATTTCACAGAAATTCCTATTTTTAGTAACCACGGCAACACCGTTCATCGAAATCAAAAACCGATACACAGAATTATGTATCTTAGTGTAGTCTACCTGTGTGCCAAGTTATATTGAAATTAGACCAAAACTGTAGGAGGAGTAGCATTTTGAAAAATTGTTTACAGACAGACGGACAGACAGACATACAGACGGACGGACGCATTACTATTGCATAAGCTCTTCTGGTCTCTGACCAGTAGAGCTAATGACGGAATCACGTAATTTTTAAAAGAGAGGACAATCCATCATTTTTAGAAATAACAGATTTCCATCACACCCCTGACTGATGGTAGGGCAAGCTAAAATTCAGGTGGGTGAATTTTATGTACTTGCCTATTTGTCAGCCCCTAGACTTAGGGTTTTTGCATGTAAATCCATGAATTAAAACCTTACCTTGGGAAAGTTCTGTTTTTTAATTCTTTTATAAATACAACTGTACCAGTCTGCACTGCCTAAATAAAAGACAATTTAATTTTAGCATAGACGAGTTTTCGAACATTTAAAGTCCCCATCAAAATAAAAGACAATTTAGAACTTTAGCAAGGACAAGTTTTCAATCATCTTAAGTTCCCCTACAAAATAGAAGACAATTTAGAAATTTACCTTGGACAAGTTTTCAAACATCTAAAGTCCCCTTAAATTCACCTTTTAAAAATGCACATATGTCTCTGTTATTTTAATGACAGATTTATTGGAATTAACCAGTTTTACCTCATGAGGACATTCTACCTTGAAACAATCCTCCAGCTCTGGTCTACGCTATCAGAGTTTATTTTTATTTCGCTTTTCACCCTTGTCACAATTTGGCAAATTTAAAACAAGGCAAATTCATAGAACACTTTTTTCTTTAAAAAAATTGTGTCTGGGTGAATTCAAAACAAGGCTAGCTCAACTGCTGGTGTAAATGAGCAATAATAAGATGATCAAAAATAACCCTCCATAAAGTATTGTATTGACAGATATTACTGTAGATGGACATTTTACCTTACAGGTGTCCTCCTGGTCTCTTTAGCTGGGTGTTTATTTATCAGATTAACAGGTTTATTGGTTTAACACATATTACTTTAGATGGACATTTTACCTTACAGGTGTCCTTCTGGTCTCTTTAGTTGGGTGTTTATTTATCAGATTAACAGGTTTATTGGTTTAACACATATTACTTTAGATGGACATTTTACCTTACAGGTGTCCTCCTGGTCTCTTTAGTTGGGTGTTTATTTATCAGATTAACAGGTTTATTGGATTAACAGATATTTCTTTAGGGGGACATTTTACCTTACAGGTGTCCTCCTGCTCAGAGTAATCATGCCTGTGCCAGTTCCTTCTCTTCTTCACTGAAAAAAATACAAAATTCTCTTTATATGGATTTATTTAGAATGGTCAATATTTTAAAAATGCCTATATATCTGCACGTATATCTGCAATACCAGAGGACATTCATTGGTGGGAATGATTTTGGTACATTCTGGCTTTTTAACCTCAATTCAACAGAAATGAGAAAAAGCTTCAAGATAACCAAGACAAATTAGATACTGTATACAGGATTATTTTCGCCCCATGTTATTTTCACCCTTCTGCACTTGCTAACAAGTTTGCCTCGTTTTAAATTTGCCTAGTCACAATTTCTGTTTTAGATGTAATAATGAGTTCTGTGGATTCGCCTTGTTTTAAATTCATCCACCTGTGAGAAGGGCGAAAATATAACAGTTCGAACATTTCCCTGTATACATACAGTAGTTAGTGGACCAGGGGTAGATACTCCCAAAAATTATAATTCACAAGTAATTGTGAGTACCAAATAATGAACTCGCAATTTTTAAAGACAACTCGCAATGTTAAAATGAAAGGTTGTCAAAAATTAAACAGCTATTAATCCATCCTTTATAACACTTCCTATTATCCAACATGATCATCAAATGGCACATGCTCTTTCATTTAAAAATGGCAGATATAAACATGATAAACAGTAACTAGACAGAAAGAGTAAAATCGAGTTGAAACGGAAGATTCTTTCCTGGATGAAATTTACAATCAAAAAATCAACTCGCATATTTTGTGAGTTAAAAATATTTCAACTCGCACATGGGATATTCTGTTTTGCATTTTGCAAGTTGTATATAGTGAATATTGGAAGTTGGAATTGGGAGATATTGATTAGTGCTGTGCGATATTACCGGTTAACCAGTGTATCCCGATTTTGTTCTTCATAATATGTATTGTGGTATTTTTTGTGAATACCAGTTCTGGTTCGATATGCTATAAATTGTAATACAAAAAAAGTTATTTGCCCTTTTCAAGGTAAAATATGGTGGCAAGCGGCATGAAGTGTGATCAGAGACCAATGACATGTCTCTTTCAAAAAAGAAAAGACAACTGTTACATGAAACCCCTTCATGTAAAAAGTGAATCTGAATATTACAACTTGATTTATTTTATCAAGTTGTGCAAAAAAAAAAAATCAAAGGCCTGAAGGGCCTGCGAGTTGACTCGCTTGAGTTAATTGAGCTTTTTCATACATCGGGACACCATGCCATACATTCAGTTTATTTTGCATCTTAAGAGATAGAATATTATATGTCTCCATACGTTCGGTTTAAAAATAAAGTGTATACTGCTTTTCCTTTATATGTACAGGTTGGCACTAATGGGCTTCCGTACATATTATTTTGAAAAGCAGCACTGCAATCCTAGATTCTATAATGAATTCAAGCACACTAGCTGCAGTGGTCAGTGTTATGGAGTAATTAGTTCAAAGATTCCCAGAGCAAAATCTGGATTCTAAAAATAGATTTTTCAAGCTGCAGCTATTGAGAGCAGCAGGTGTTTGTGTTAGGGAGTATTCTAGGTCAATTATAAATAAACTTCAGATGGGAAGATTAGCCTAACATGCTTGAACATATATTCATACGCAGTAATTGTACATCTTACAGATATTTAAACAAAAAATTCTTTAAAAGAATGAAGACAAAAATAATGTAACAGTATGAAATCTTATAGTTTTTACCTCATAAGTTTGTACAATTACTCAACAAAAGCATTTTTTAGCTAGAACTTTCATACTTGGCGTATGGATCACCTTGATGAATGCGTGAAAAATTTTACAGCTCTGAAACGGCTATGTCAACAGAGAGTAGCTCGCTACGCGAGCCAACTCAAAAACAAGAGGCCCATGGGCCACATCGCTCACCTGAGAAGCTTTGACAATTCTGTACTTTACTAGATTTACCCCTTGTAATACATATTGTGACCCCACCCTACCCAACTGATCATAATTTAGACAATTTGAAATCTACACTACCCCAGGATGCTTCCATATAAGTTTCAGCTTCTCTGGCACAGTGGTTCTTGAGAAGAAGATTTTCAAAGATGTTTCCTATATATTTCTATGTAAAACTTTGATTCCCCATTGTGGCCCCGCCCAATCCCCGGGGGTTATGATTTGAACAATTTAGAATCTACACTACCCTAGGATGCTTCCATATAAGTTTCAGCTTTTCTGGACCAGTTGTTATTAAGAAGAAGATTTTCAAAGCCTTTTCCTATAATTTTATGTAAAACTTTAATTCCCCATTGTGTCCCCGCCCAATCCCCAGGGGTCATGATTTCTAAAATTTAAAATCTTCACTATCCCAGGATGCTTCCACATAAGTTTCAGCTTTTCTGGCTCAGTGGTTCTTGAGAAGAAGATTTTCAAAGATTTTTCCTATATATTTCTATGTAAAACTTTCATACCCCATTGTGGCCCCGCCCAATCCCCGGGGGTCATGATTTGAACAATTTAGAATCTACACTACCCAAGGATGTTTCCACATAAGTTTCAGCTTTTCAGGCACAGTGGTTCTTGAGTAGAAGATTTTCAAAGATTTTTCCTATATATTTCTATGTAAAACTTTGATTCCCCATTGTGGCCCCGTCCAATCCCCGGGGGTTATGATTTGAACAATTTAGAATCAACACTATCCCAGGATGCTTCCACATAAGTTTCAGCTTTTCAGGCACAGTGGTTCTTGAGTAGAAGATTTTCAAAGATTTTTCCTATATATTTCTATGTAAAAATTTGATTCCCCATTGTGGCCCCGCCTAATCCCCGGGGGTTATGATTTGAACAATTTAGAATCTACACTATCCCAGGATGCTTCCACATAAGTTTCAGCTTCTCTGGCACAGTGGTTCTTGAGAAGAAGATTTTCAAAGATGTTTCCTATATATTTATATGTAAAACTTTGATTCCCCATTGTGGCCCCGCCCAATCCCCGGGAGTCATGATTTGAACAATTTAGAATCTACACTACCCTAGGATGCTTCCATATAAGTTTCAGCTTTTCTGGACCAGTTGTTATTAAGAAGAAGATTTTCAAAGCCTTTTCCTATATAATTCTATGTAAAACTTTGATTCCCCATTGTGGCCCCGCCCAATCCCCAGGGGTCATGATTTCTAAAATTTAAAATCTTCACTATCCCAGGATGCTTCCACATAAGTTTCAGCTTTTCAGGCACAGTGGTTCTTGAGAAGAAGATTTTCAAAGATTTTTCCTATATATTTCTATGTAAAACTTTAATTCCCCATTGTGGCCCCACCCAATCCCCGGGGGTTATGATTTGTACAATTTAGAATCTACACTATCCCAGGATGCTTCCACATAAGTTTCAGCTTTTCTGGCTCAGTGGTTCTTGAGAAGAAGATTTTCAAAGATTTTTCCTATATATTTCTATGTAAAACTTTCATTCCCCATTGTGGCCCCGCCCGATCCCCGGGGGTCATGATTTGAACAATTTAGAATCTACACTACCCCAGGATGCTTCCACATAAGTTTCAGCTTTTCTGGCCCAGTGGTTCTTGGGAAGATGATTTTTTAATGACCATACCCTATTTTTGTCTTTTCTTGATTATCTCCCCTTGCGAGGGGATATGTCCCTTCATTTTAACAATTTAAATTCCCCTTCACCCAAGGATGCTTTGTACCAAGTTTGGTCAAAATTGGCCCAGTGGTTCTTGAGAAGAAGTCGAAAATGTGAAAAGTTTACGGACGGACAGACGGACGGACAGACGGACGGACGGACGACGGACACAATGTGATCAGAAAAGCTCACTTGAGCCTTCGGCTCAGGTGAGCTAAAAACGTTATGCGATCAGGCAATTGTAATACTAACTCGAGAATACATGCAATTTGAGTTTATGTTTTCATTTAATCTTCATGATAAGCAAAAATTATTAAATATTTTATATTGTGATATATTGTAAAACAAAATATAATATTGTGCTATATCTCGATACGATTTTTCAGTCGTGATACCCAGCACTAATATTAATATACTTACACACTAGAGGTCCCTGTGTCAGTACACAGTTTGGACAATGGTAAATCTCGATGTCAGATGCTTGGTACTCTTGTACGCCGACACAACTGAAAAAAAAATCCACATAAATAAGACCTCAATGATATACATTAAAACTCGGATCTAACAAAGTCACCTTGACCAATGAAATTACTGCGCTATCGGTAATTCACCATTTCCGTATAAGAAATACATTAAATTTAAAACAGGGGATCCTTGATAACTTTGCTATATCCGTGAATAGTTATATCCGTATTTGCACTGAACAAGTTTTACTGTACAAACAGAACATTTAGAGACATATATGTTCACAAGCAGGGCTGTCTTTTACAAGAATATAAGATCACTCTGATGCACCTTAGTTTTTTCTAATGTCTAACCAGACCATAAACATTTTTTTTTAAGTGAATGAATAATCTTATTTCCTTATAAGTAGATATTAAGGTAATAAGTAAGACAGTTCGTAATTACTACAAAATGAAACAATACCCTGATTTTTTAACGAGATTATACTCAATAAATAAATCTGATTACTACATATGCATTGAAAATTCATCGGTGTATCACAATATTAAATCATATAGTAAAAGCTACATTTAAGTGAGTTTGCTAATCTAGACACAGGGATTTAACACCAATGCCAACCTTTTAACTAAAAACTTTAGGATATATCACATGTAGGGCTAAAAAAGATTACAAAGTATGTCTATATTATTGCAGGGTTTACTGTGATAAACATACAAGCAGAATGTAACACAATAACGTCTCTGATTGAAATGTGAATTATATACCCACTATTTCTACAAACTAACGCCCAATAAGATTTAATCGTGACAGGTACTGAGTGATCTTCACTGTCAACAAACGTAAACAGAACTTGTCAAACTTTCGGGTCAAGTTTTCCTGTCTTTGGTGTAGATTTCCGAATCTCTTTATGTATAATTAGCTGCAGTAGCTTTACCTTCCGTGAAACCAGTCCTTGCAGACATCACATTCAATCATGAACTCGTTTTCATCGTAAGGTTTTCGACATAAACAGTACACGGTCTCTTCCTCTGACGCCATGTTGAAAATTGCGGGACAAAGACATCCGCTTCTGCATGCGCAATCTAAAACTTTTCTTTGACTTATCAAGCGCGGCAAATTTAAATGAGCTTTTTGAATGTTTTCAGACTGGTACAAATATACATAAATCTGATGCCGAAAGTTCTAAAATAATAACAGGAAATTTTTTTTCACTAATTTGATGGAGTTCTTTTTCAATAAGGTCAATGCCTGTGTAGTAGATGTATATTTTATTAAATAATTTAATAAATGATAATGAAAAAAAATAAATTATAAATATGAATAAAATAAACTAAATAAACTATTAAATAAGTTATAAATGATAAGATTATCCATTAAAGTTTATTCTTTCCATTCTTTACTAATTTGGGTATTTAGTGATATATAGTTTTACGCCCTTTTGGATCCACACCTTACATATACTTTTACATGACCACACACACATCTATTGGTCATTTTTCGAAATGCTTTGTTTTCATTGGTAAGTGTTTTGGTCTTTGTGGTGTAGTGAGTTTTATTCAGTTTAGACTGTAGATTTCTGATTTGTAATGGAGAAGACCTAGTTTTCTTTGCTGTTGAATTAATGCATTTGAAAAGACCTTAGAACTTTTGACAGTTCCAGAAATGTAAGTTTTACCTGTTTTATGCTTCAAGATATGTTTTCTATAATATTTTGTTAAAAAGGTAGAAAACAAGATATTCTATTTTTACATGTTAACATAATGAGTTATACACTACCCTCCATAAATAAGTATCCACAGTTATTTTTTTACAATTTTCAAATGAAAAAAGCTAAAAAAGTGTATAGAATATCTGTAATTGTCTTTTATAAAGAGAGATAACCTATACCGAGCATTGTAACAAAAGAATCCAATGAGAAATTAAATTTTTAGACAAAAATAAATCAATTAACATAATAATTTTTGTGAAACTTATTCTCTACATTATTAAACGGTATTTGAATCATAATAATCTCTTACTTTTATTTACCTACTGTCGGCAATTAAAAGAAAAATAAACATAAGAATAAAGAATTTCAATAATCAGCAACCTTTTATGACAATAAAAATTACATATGGTGCCTGGGTACAAATAAAGAAATTGAGAAGATGGGACGGTTAACTTTAGAAGAAAGGATTCTCTGCAACCTGCTGCACCTACAAGGAAACGCGATATCGGAGATTGCCAGAAGACTTGGAACTACAAGGTAAGTCATCAGTTTTGTTTGAATTTTATTTTTTTAAACATATTGCTTAAAAACTTTTTTTAAAACTTAGTTAATTTCCTTTCCTTTAACTGAAAGACGATTCGGAAAACAATTCTAAGAAGACAGACAACTGGATCTTATGAAGATGCTGCACGACCAGGGAGACCTAGGTTATCAACACTCAGAGAAGATAGAATTCTTGTGAGACAATCTCTGCAGAACAGAAGAGAGACTGTTCCACAGCTAAGGACTGAGTGGATGCAGAATGGAGTTCAAGCATCCAACACCACAGTAAGACGGAGACTGAAGGAAGCTGGTCTGGTAGCGCATGTGGCTTTGAAAAAACCCCTTCTCACAGCTGTTCATCGCAGGAAAAGACTACAATTTGCACTGGCTCATGCGAATTGGACTTGGGTTGACTGGTCAGCAGTACTTTGGTCGGACGAGTCCAGATTTACACTTTTTCAAAATGATGGCCGTGTGTTCGTCAGGAGGCGGTCTCATGAGGCATACAGAAACAACTGTATTGTACCAACAGTCAAGTTTGGTGGGGGTGGTGTTACTGTTTGGGGTGCCATGTCCTACAGGGGAACTGGATTCCTGACTCCCCTTAAACAAAGATGGATATTTGGACATCTCAGTAACTCGGCAATCCCTTCTGCACATCAACTTGGATACGGAGATAACTACTTTTTCCAAGATGACGGCGCTCCATGTCACAGGGCTAATGTAGTAAAAGAATGGAAAGCTGACCAAAACATGCGTTGCCTTGAATGGCCACCACAAAGCCCAGATTTAAACCCAATAGAAAATTTGTGGAGAGATCTTGGACTTGCAGTTGGAAATGGTCGAAGATGTCATGATCTCAGGGATTTGGAACAAGCCCTAATTAATGAATGGAGTCGGATTCCAGTAAGAAGATGTCAGCAACTTATTAGAAGTATGCCCAACCGAATACAGGCTGTGATACGTGCTAGAGGGGGATACACAAAGTACTGAACTTTTTTATTTAAAATGATTACTTAATATGTTATTTATGCAATGAATTCCTGTAAATAAATATATTTATAAAAAGTGAAAAAAATATTACGTTTTCATTGATATTTTACCATATTTTATTCATGTATTATGAAAATATGTGAAAATTACTTAAATCTACCTCAAATATGAGCCTGGTGTGGAAAAATAGATCAATAAAAACTTTTGTGAGTGGTGGATACTTATTTATGGAGGGTAGTGTATGTCTAGTTATTCAGCTAATGATAAATATAATGAAGTTTTCGTGTAGATCAATCTGTATATAAACCTGAAAATACTTTGAAGTAAAAATTTTGGTTATTAAGATAATTTAAATAATTATTTATTTAGAGAAAGGTATTGGTGTAGAGCAAGTCCTTATTTTTACATTTATTGTACATATGTATCTCCATATATAACGAATATAAACTTGCAGGGGGGACCATAAATTGGTATGTCTATCTGTGTACATGTATATATATTTTTATGATTTGCGAAGTAACATAAAAGAAAGATAACTCTTTACAAGATTGTAAAGCGTATTTGTGTTATAAGAGTTAACTCCCTTATATCATATGTAAAGTATATCTATCATGTGTTATCATAGTGAATGATGATAATTACTTGTAAAATGAAAGACAGATAATTTGTTATATTTTATAACCAGAATATTTAATTGAAATTTCCTATTTGTACATATTTTTATGACGCAATTTGTATATTGCAGGACAATTCCATTACTCCATGTACATTTCCATTAAATCCATTATAAATTCCATATCATCGATTTTCAACTGAGAGATGTCATAATTAAAAGTGTAAACTACAACAGTATTGTGTTTTCCATCATACTGCCGGGAATACCCGCTACACCTGAAAAAGAAGAAATTTTAAAAAAAGTTTAACGAAAACTTTGAGACTTTGAAAAACTTTATCAAAATCTTTAACACTTTGAAAAACTTTATCGGAAACTTTGAGACTTTGAAAACTTTGACTCTTTGAAAAACTTCATCGAAATGTTTGATACTTTGAAAAACTTTGACTCTTTGAAAAACTTTATCGAAAACTTTGACACTTTGAGAGAGTTTATCAAAAACTTTGAAACTTTGAAAAAGTTTATCAAAAACTTTGACACTCTCAAAAACTTAATCGAAAACGGGTGAAAACTTGCCACTTTAGTAAACTTTTACGAAAACTTTGAGACTTTAAAAACTTTATCTCAAAATCTTGAACACTTCGAAAAACTTTATCTTCTTCTTCTTCTGTTTTCCAACAAAACTTCAGAGTACTGAAGATTACTTGTTGGTGCGCATGCGTGACCTAAACTTATATAAATAGAAACATTTTAAAGAAAAAAGAAATGTGCTTTTATTTACATAAGTGATTACAAGAAAAATTTAACTGTTTTACTTTTTACATATATAGTGTTGAGAACAGCTGGGGTTAGCCGTTCTCTAAAAATGTCAACGTTAGTGGCTTGGACAGCAGACTGGGGAAGTAAATTCCATTGAAAACTTTGAGATAGTATACTATAGTAAACTATAGTTAACATTGAATAGTATTTTTTTTTTGTCTTTATTAAATTAAGCCCTCTATTTAGTTAACTTTTCTTTCTCTTGTGCCCCCTTACACTATTTAAAATGATTTGCCCCCCTTTTCCCCGACATTAATTGCATACTTTCTATTTCTTGCCGGTATGAAATTTAAAAAAAAAACATTCTTAGTAATTTCAATTATTATTTATTCTCATCAAGGTAAAATTCCTTTGTAAAAACTTTTTTTTTTAATTATTTATTTAATTGCCAGTGATTTTATTAAATTCTAAAAAAAAAAAAAAAAAAAAAAAAAAAAAAAAAAAAAAAAAAGATTATTATGTAAATATTATTTTCTCTTATTTTATCTTATGTTTAATTAGTTAGTGTGGTTTTTTTTTTTTAAATTAAGTATTGTTGTATTGATTTGCTCCTCCTGTAAATGTATTTCAAAAGTTAAACATGTTGAGGGGTTGGTGTCTGGAGTTCCGGTTGGATTGTTTATAGAGGTCGCTTCAAACTCACGTGAGAGTATTACGAATCATCAAAACAACATGGCGACTGTCAAGTTGAGTTTCATCCTGAAAGTCTTCCTTGCACAATGTTTAGCTTTAACAGCTCTCTCCTTGCACGTCCATGAGTTTGAGGTGAAGCAACAGGGTTTGAAAAATCTTCTTGAGCCACAGACAGCCATCAGAAGCAGACGCGACTTAGGAGATCGAGATCCGAAATGCACGTCACAGGAAAATACCTTCTTGAATGAAATCAACTCGGGAAAAGTAAAACTTGAGCAGAAGGTTTGTGTAATGTCGTTTTTGTTCAGGGTCAGGTAATCTATGATGTAATATAAAATCCATATTGCTGTACTTAAAGGGTGAATCTTTTTGTTTCTTTAACAATGCAATGAATGCATAGTGGTTTTGGTAAAAGTAGAGGAAATTCGCATGGTCTTTTGTAATCATCAAGTCTGGTACAATCACTAGATTTAGCTACGTAGCTTGATTTACCTACATACTGTAGCTTTATTTACCTACCTGGGGTAGCTTTATTTAGCTACCAATTCAATTTATTTCTATAAAAAAGCATCTTTCCCAGGGTGTGCAGAAAATATCCTTTTGATGGCAGTGATCATTTTCAATTTTGAACTCATCTGAAAACAACTCGGGAAAAAAACATTCTTGAAGAAATGTCTTTTCTGCGCAATTGCAATCAAAGTTCTGAAAGTTTTGGGGCTATGTATGACAGTTAGAACAGTTACTCCTTGAATGAAATGACAACGAAGTCCAGTTCCGGTTAACACTATAATAGGTCAGTAATCATTCAGCACAAATTGAAGTAATCATACTCAGTCATGCCTCACTGCACGCATCAGAGAGAAGACAGTAATCAAACAATGGAATTACATGTTTTGCTCTAAATTGTCCAAATGCAGCAATGTTTATTTTATCTCTGCTTTAGATTGTTTTTATAAGCTTCCCTAGTATGAATATCAATAGTCTCTTAATTGCAATTTTTTGTCTCTTAAATAAAAAATAAAATTTTGAAAAGTTACATTGAAATAGCTAAATAAAGCTACCTGAGGTAGGTAAATAAAGCTATATGTAGGTAATTTTACCAAATGTCTGACAGTGATTAAGAAATTTCGACAAGTCTGAAGTAGGAAAAAAGTTAATGTCAAGCCCTGCAGAGGGATCAATCTTCTAAACAATGGGCATACAGAAAAACTTGTGAAATCAGCGTCTAAAATACACCTTATGATTTCTCTCTATATTCTTCCAATTTCAGTTTTTCTCCTTCAAAGTTTGAAATACCGGTATTTTCATAGCTGGCAGTCTATAGTTTCTACTATTATAATATATTCATAATCATGATAATTCTTACAACTCTTACTTGTATCTTTGTTTCGGTTTTAAAGGCCGATCACATTCATGTCAAAGTTTTAAAGTGAACAAAATGGAAACATGCTTCAGATTGCATGTCCATTTAAAAAACATTTTCAGTGGTAGGGGGGCTTAGGTGGTCCCATGACCCCGTCTTACTATTTGTCATTTCAGAATGTTGGCAGCTCTGCAATTGACACAAAAAAATTAAAAAAATTTACTGAACATAAGGTCTGGTAAAAATACACTTTTTACCATGTTTACCAGACGAAGCATTTATTTACCAGACAGACTTTTTTCTTTAAAACCATAAAGAAACAGATTGAAAGGATGGATGGATTGAGGTTTCGTGGTAGGTGGAGGGGGGGTATGGTTATGAAAAATGGTTTGAATGAAATCGATAAGTTTACTAATAAAAATTTTTGTTTTGAAAGGTACTTATACAATTACATTTAATATTTAATTTTTTCTTGATATTTGACTTAAAAAAAACCCATTTTCTTTAATTTTCTTTAATTTGAATGCACTTTCAATATAGCTGCAGAACTATAGCATTATGGCTTAATATATTAGTCTTTGACCATGATAACGCTACTGATCCCTTAATGCTAAAAAGGTGCAAGATCTTTTGTGCACTGTTGGGAAAAATTTTTCCTCTTTATAGCAATTTGGTCAATTAATTAAATTTCATTCCCTAAATTTAGAAACATTCTTTAAGGCCTAAAAAAAAAAAATAAGTTTGTTTCCTGTAACCCGACCCACCCATTCAAATTACCCCCGGGTGGATTTTTTTTTCTGACAAATGGCAAAATTTCGTTTGATCAATCAGCTGATTCAATTTATTAAAAAAAGAAAATTAGCTTGTAGCTTAAATTGAGAGATAAAATATGTCAACCTAGTTTACATAAAAATTTACCTTAGTTATTAAGAATAATCATTATTATATCAACAATTTCCCCCTACAACTTTTACTTTCTGAACTTCGTTTTCTGCCGCTTGGCAGCCATTTTGGATGCCATGTTGGGTGTCCACTGTAAATATGACACCTAGTTTATTCAGTCCGGGGATGTTTGAGCATTCATAAGCCAAAAAAAAAAAAGAAAAAAAAAATTCCCGACCTACGGACCCTTATAATTTTTTGGGAATGTTACAGGAAACAAACATATTTTTTTTTAAGCCTAATCAATCTGTATATTTCTTCACCTCCCAACCCTTAAAATTTAGTTGTCTCTACGCAATTACACTGTCACTCGTTTGATTTTACTTTTCTGAAATACAACAGACAATTCAAATCCAGCTAGTTTATCCATATAGAGACGACTGTAAAGAGTTATGAGGCGGATAAAATATAGGATAAAGAACAGTTTATTTTCAGGGATCTTCAGTGAGAGAGAAATAAGATTTTATCATTCAAATTGCTTGATAGCACTGTTTTGTATAAATTTAACATGATCTATGACCAATTGCAGATAAAAAAAATAAGAAAGGAAAGAGTGGCTATTTCTAGCCTAATTTAATGATTTTCTTTGACCAAAAAAAAAGTCCAAATTAATCTGTTTTTGCAAGCTACGGATAATCGGTCCACCCGTCACCCCACAAACAAGGACTGGGAACCGAGAACCCTTGGCTTGTGAAGATGAATTTACTCAGCCCTGTTACCAGGTGACGCTTTAATAAAGCCTAGATACCTTAACCAAACATGTCTAACAAAACAAATATACAGGAAACTTCACAGCCTATAGAAACATATATGTATCTTTATTTATTTCCTTTTGAACTAATTGTGTACTAGATAAATTTTTCAAGATAAATTCTCTGTTTTAAAACATCAGAGAGCTCATGTTTTTTTTACTTTTTAGCTCACCTGAGCTGAAAGCTAAAGTGAGCTTTTCTGATCACATTTTGTCCGGCGTCCGTCTGTCTGTCTAGCTGTCCGTAAACTTTTCACATTTTCGACTTCTTCTCAAGAACCGCTGGGCCAATTTCAACCAAACTTACCACAAAGTAGCCTTGGGTGAAGGGGATTCAGGTTTTTACAAATGAAGGGCCACACCCTCATTCAAGGGGAGATAATAGGGAATTAATGAAAATTTGGTGGCATATTTAAAAAATCTTCTTCTCAAGAACCACTGTGCCAGGAAAGATGAAAATTATGGAGAAACATCCTCAGGTAGTGTAGATTCAAGTTTGTTCAAATCATGACCCCCGGGGGTAGGGCAGGGCCAAAATGGCCGACCAACGTTTTACATAGAAATATGTAGGAAAATTCTTTAAAAATCTTCTTCTCAAGAATGACAAAGCCATAATTCATCATATTTATATGAAAGTATGCTCAGGTAGTGTAGATTCAAGTTTGTTCAAATCATGACCCCCGGGGGTAGGGCAGGGCCAAAATGGCCAACCAAAGTTTAACCTAGAAAAATATAGGAAAATTCTATAAAAATCTTCTTCTCAAGAATGACAAAGCCATAATTCATCATATTTATATGGAAGCATGCGCAAGTAGTGTAGATTCAAATTTTTTTTAAATCATGACCCCCAGGGGTAGGGCAGGGCAAAAATGGCCTATCAAAGTTTTTAAAGATATATATAGGAAAATTCTTTAAAAATCATTTTCTAAAAACTAGCAAATCCATGATTGGTCATAGGACTACTTTTGGATTTAAACTTAAAGTTTACATTAAAAAACCATTTTCTACTTTTTCCTACCCTTAGTGCTCAGGTGAGCGATGTGGCCCATGGGCCTCTTGTTATTTTTTACACTGGCTACACTTGCCATTTACTGATGCATTAATTAAAATAAAAATTGTGATTGTCATGTGATCTTTTGGCAGATTTTGTAATGATTTTCAGGTGACAACAAAGATTTTATATGTTACATTTGATTTATTTAGAAATTGAATTGACATTGTGTTCACTGAAGTGTACAGATATGTGACTTAATAGGTCGCACCTCATTGATTTCCGAGACCTTGGGGTTTTGTATAATTTTTAACCATCAGGTGATTTAATGATATAGCGTCTTAGAGAGGGGAAATTTTTATATATTATTTTATTTAATATATATACTATAATTACCAACTGCTTAGGGTTGTGTGTGCCTCTCTATATCATTACATTGTATTTCTTTTCAAAAATTATTTTCTGACTATTTTTAAAACTATAATCATATAATATGTGTATACTATATTTAAACATGTTAAAGAAAGTCTTAACATTTCCAAGCTAGGTTTTAATAAAGTTGATATTTAAAATGCAATGTTGTTCCGATCACAAATTGATCATGTTGATCAGATAATTTTTTTTGTAAACATTTTTTTAAACATTTTTTTTGTTACATTTTTGTTTATAATGTATAGTGGATATATTAAGCTCAGAAGGTTGTGAGATTAAAGTAAGATTTTTCAATGTTTGTCCAAAATAATAAAGCCTTTAAGTCACCCTAGATAAATCCAAATAGTTGGTTTGATTACCCGTCAATAGAGAGTTGATGTAACAGCTGTGGGATTGTTATACAAAGTAAACACTGCAGTCAGGAAAGCTATGGCTCACCATGTGTAGATAAATCAATTAATCTGATTAGTGTATTGAGTAATATCTCGAGTACCTCGCAGTTATCTAACTTACTACCGCTCTTTTGCCGGGGAGTCGAGAAAGCTCAAATCTCGCGAGATAACAGGGGCATATAGCATTGTTTACAATAGTGACAATCGAATGATTTGAACAATTTTTATGCTTGAAGTACAAAGTTTTGCCGAGAATTGAACTCCATAAATAGTAGATTGTCAAATAAGGAAAGTTTAGATAATTTTATCAGCTTTAAAATGTGGTGATTTTCAATGAAAGTTTAATGAGCAGAACCTGCTTAGTTAAAAATATCGTAAAAATGGAACATTTTGGGATTAGCTCTTCTCCAAAAATAATATCATAACAGTTAAATATTCCGTTTCGATGAAAAATCATCTGGCCCCGGGATCATGACACAGACTTAGACTTAAGTCCAAATTTCAAATTACTATAAAATCTTTAAAACTTGTTAAAGGAAACTCATAATTTGCATACAACAGTAGACTGATGATACAAAATCGGAAAGAATGTTCATTTTGGGCTGCTTGACCTCTAAAAAAAATTCAGCATCTAAGACATTTTTTGATTTAAGCTTAAGATGCTTCATGATCTTGGGGCCTTGATACTTAGAAGCATCCGGATATCTGAAGGTCCACTGTTTATATATATCATTAGCTCACCTGAGCCAAAGGCTTAAGTGAGCTTTTCTGATCACAATTTGTCCGTTGTCTGTCGTCGTTGTCATTGTAAACTTTTCACATTTTCATCTTCTTCTCAAGAACCACTGGGCCAATTTCAACCAAACTTGCTACAAAGTATCCTTGGGTAAAGGGGATTCAAATTTGTTCAAATGAAGGGCCACACCCTTTTCCAAGGGGAGATAATTATGATTTAGAGAAAAATTAATGGCATTTTTATAAAATCTTCTTCTCAAGAACCACTAGGCCAGGAAAGATGAAACTCATGTGGAAACATCCTCAGGGAGTGTAAATTCAAGTTTGTTCAAATCATGACCCCCGGGGCTAGGATGGGGCCAAAATGGCCGATCAAAGTTTTACATAGGAATATATGGGAAAATTTTTTAAAAATCTTCTTCCCAAGAACCACTGAGCCAGGAAAGCTGAAACTCATGTGGAATCATCCTTAGATAGTGTAGATTCAAGTTTGTTCAAATCATGACCCCCGGGGCAAGGGTGGGGCCAAAATGTCCGATCAAAAGTTTACATAGGAGTATATAGGAAAAATCTTCTTTTCAAGAACCACTTGGCCAGGAAAGATGAAACTAATGTGGAATCATCATCAGATAGTGTAAATTCAAGTTTGTTTAAATCATGACCCCAGGGGGTAGGGATTAGCAAATATGGCCGATCAAAGTTTTACATAGGAATATATAGGGTGTTAAAATTCAAGCCCCCCTCCCCCCCCCCCCCCCCCCCCCCAACTTCAGTAAACTTTCAGTTCTGATCTGATATGTGCTTTTTCCTAGCCGATTTGCTCAGGTGAGCGCTGTGGCCCCTGGGCCTCTTGTATATATTTGCTTTCTCCTTAGGAATCGTGTCCTCTGGTTATGTTTAGATTCAGATATTTTTCTTATTATGACCCTCTGAGTCTTTAAAAATCTTTTTTTTTTCTACAGAGGAGAAAAGGAGTACTAAAAGGAGTAGTCATACATGATTAAGTCATGATATTTATAAATTGGAGGCATTAATTTTCAGATAGACAAGTTTAGATTCATTAGTTTCTTCTATTCAGGACTAGTGTGGTTAGAGTTAGGCCACAATAAGCAATGATTTTTATCAAAATTTTACATACTAGAGGAAAAATGCCCTTTGCTTAATATGAAGAACAACATATTGACTCAGGTGAGCAGTGTGACCCATGGTCCGTTTGTTGGGGTAATTAGCAAGGCTCAAAGCCATATACATTATGTCCAATTAAAAGAATTTATTTTATCTTTGCAGCATGCTTTTCAAAACGAGTCGTACTACAGCATGGCACTGGCGTGGTGCGGAAATAACGGGGTAAGGTCAAAAGTTTGATTACTTGTAAACTGTATCAAATGTTTAAGTGATGACCAAATTTAATTTTCTCATCAGATATACCCACACAGATTCATCAATTTGAAAGGCCTTTTTTAACAAAAGAAATTTTGAATAAGAAAAAAAAAATTCTATTTCTTATTATTGTCCTGATTAAACTCTGTAAACTATAACGTGTACATGTTATATTTTAATTTGGTTGCATTGGATTGAGTAGTGCTGATGCTGTGATCTTTGTACACATTATAGTGTTATAAATCCTCGATTTTCTTCACTGTAATATAGGACCTGATAGTGGTAATTACACAGGAAAGCTTTGGGACTGTTAAGCCGTCCAAAGTTTACAAAAGGTAAGACACTTTGGTCTTCATTTAGGTCCTGTGTCAGGCTTTACATGCTCTAAGCACAAAGAGGACTAAGTAAGTACGTAAGGTCGTATGTACTCTAATAGTGCTCAGGACACAAAATTATTTCCTATGTAGCTTGTAAGACAAGCTTTGATTGGTTCCAAAGTTGGGTGTAAATTTCCATGCACCCAACTGGAGATGGGGGTACTATTAGTTACACAGTAAGTTGTGTTACGAATTTATCCCGCTGAAGACCTTTATCAATATAAAAAAAATATTTGTGCATATTATGAAAATATTAAGTTTTGATCCAATAACAATCAACATAAAATATCGTTACAGTAACAAGAAATTTAACTAAACTACCTACATAAACCGTTTCTTAGCCGCCATTTTTATTTACAATAACAACGCTGCGAACGGAATTGTGTGCCCGATTTTCATATAACGCCTCGACGGAGACGTAATACGGAAAATTTCAGGGTGTCATGTGATCAGCTTTTATCCAATCAGCAATATACAAATTTGTCTGAAGCGGGATAATAAATGAAACGTGAAGTCACAATGCCTAGTTTTTCTATGCAGATTAAAAGCAAATGACAAGACGTAAATCTTATCAGTAGATTGAGACACAGTGAATTGAATTTATGTTTACAATTAATTTTTATAGCTACATAGGAAATATATTCTTATTCCGGTTCAATCAGGGGTGTACAGGGATTTACCCTGGGTTTTCCATACACTCTTTAGCCTCAGGGTGTATGGAATAAACCCAAGGTAATTTGCCGTACACCCTGGATTGAACCTGGATAACTATATATTACAAAGCAGGAAAGATGGCTGATATCTAGGCACTGTTTTAGTTTCAGTTTATTTTCATGGATATTTTCCACTTTAAAGAATTTTATTTTGTGTAATTTGATAAATATAGGTGTAATCATTCATCTATACCAAAAATTAAATATCCTGGTTGAAAAGTATTGCATTTTAAAATACTTTTAAAATCTGTTTTAACATAATTATAATCATTCTTACAGCAAATTCAGATATATATTTTTATGCGCCCGGATCGATAGATCCCGGGCGTATATTGTTTTTGTCCTGTCTGTTTGTCTGTTTATCTGTTTGTCTGTTTGTCTGTTGTCAACTTTAACCTTGGCTATAACTTTTGAACAATAAGAAATAGAGACTTCATATTTGGTATGCTTACTCCACTAATAAAGTCCTTTCAAATGACATCAAGGTCAATGACCTTGTGACCTTGACTGTGACCTATATGCTAAAAATAGCTTTTTCCACTGTTTGTCATAACTTTTTAACCATAGGAGATAGGGACTTCATATGTGGTATGCATACTCCACTAATAATGTCCTATCAAATGACATCAAGGTCAATGACCTTGTGACCTTGACTGTGACCTATATGCTAAAAATAGCTTTTTCCACTGTTTGTCATAACTTTTTAACCATAGGAGATAGGGACTTCATATTTGGTATGCATACTCCACTAATAAAGTCCTTTCAAACGACGACAAGGTCAATGACCTTGTGTCCTTGACTGTGACCTATATGCTAAAAATAGCTTTTTACACTTTTTGCCATAACTTTTGAACCATAGAAGATAGGGACTTCATATTTGGAATGCATACTTCACTGATTAAGGTCTTTCAGATGAAACCATGGTCAATGACCTTGTGACCTTGACTGTGACCAATATGCTAAAAATAGATTTTTTGAACTTTGTTGCCGCCAGGCGCATAGTGTTTCACAAACACATCTTGTTTTCATATTATCAGGATAGTAAATAGTAAAATTACCCTGAAGTTTCCTTTTTTTTTAGCACAGACTTTGGGGCTCATTTTAAGCCAGTGATGCTAAACAGACAACCGAGAATTTACAAACACAATGGTGTCCATAGAAACCCTCACAACACAAAGAAGGTACGAGGCCTGAGGTTACCTCCCTTAGTTATAATGCTGGGAAGGGAGACAATTCTATACAAAAAGAGAAGAGATTAGTATTATGTAGAGTTACATCCCTTGTTGATTATCTAATAAGAAACCAAAACAGCATTTTATTTTAAAACAGATATTTATTTGAAATCATTTATTTTGATTCTTTAATTTTTACTGAGAAAAAAAAAATCCATCCCATGTACATTTTTCCCCCATTGTTAATTTAACATGTGTGAATTTGACTACTTTCCTTTTGCCAAATGGATTCATTAAAAGAAGCAACTTAAGTGTGCAAAATATTATTTTAAAACTTCACAGTGATATAACTTGTAGTTTAGAGCAGAGTTAAAAGTGTAATTCAAACTGTATTATAAAGAAAAGAAAAGTAGTCCTACTCACTTCTAAGAATTTTTAAACCACTGCAATTTAAAATACTGTATACAGGGTTATTTTCGCCCCATGTTATTTTCGCCCTGTCATATTTGGAAACAAGTTTGCCCCGTTTTAAATTCGCCCTGAAATTGTTTCTGTTTAAGATATTTACCATTTACTTTAAGGTAAGGTTTGCGTCTCCCTCCAACTTTTATTTTTTTTAATATGCACACATGCCATATATCAATTTATTCAGGGAGATTAGCTTCATCATTTAATATGATTTTCAAAGATATTGCCCATCCCATTTTTTTAGTAAAAGACGCCAAATTTAACGTATTTCATATTTCACCTCAAATATTATTTTCATTGAAAAAATTGATTTATTTTATTAATTATCAAACTTTTATAATTAAAATGACCTGAATTAGTATAATTAATACTTATATTATTTAAACTTTTAATTTTCCTTTATCAAAAATGTGAAAATTTGGGTAAAAAAGAAGATTTTTCAATTTTCCTTGATAAAGTGAAACCGTTGCCATGGTAACAAAAATATAAAAATCAACGTTTTGTATATCTACCGATTCCATCAAAATCCATGAAGTTATTAATTTGATCATTTTCATTAATTTGAACTAAAAAAATATGTATGTCCCCAATATTATTTCCATGGAAACAGGGGCTATATTATGGGTTCGGAACATAAAAATCAGACTTTTTCTACACTTTTAAAGGCAACATTGATATCGATCACCTTGTCATGGTGAATGTTAAAGACTATATGTTGTTTTTCAATTTGATATTGTTTTTAGGCATAAATTGGCCAAAAATATTCAAAATAAAACTCCTTCTGTGCTACATGATGGTCTAAAAATTTATTCCATGGAAGAACTCTAGTATTTATGGCTATCTTTACATCTGAATATTCTGATGAAATTGTCCATGAATTATACTGCAACACCTTTAGAAGTACATGTATATGTATATAAACATACTTCAGAACATGTTGCAACTAAACCAATTAAAATCCTATGAATTTGACCTCATGCTGATTTAGTTATTCCAACATGTAGTAACTTCTAGACATCTTTGTAGCCAAATACCTTTATTCAGTTATGGCTGGTGACTGTCATTATACATGTATCACAGTATGGCATTTTTTGAGTGAAATGTTGTAAGCATCGCATCGCTGCTGTTTTTATAATTAAATGATTTCTAGAAATGCTATCTTTAAAGTAATGTTGGCTCAGGGTAAAATTTTGGGATCGGTAGGTGAGAAAATCCTCAACAACATTTTTTAAAGGGGGATTAGAGGAATAAAAGGAAAAAAAATACGGCTCTGCATTAAAAAACAATTTTCAGTCTGGTCATTTTAGTCAGGTTTGGAGAGGCCGACAACCAAACATTTTTTAAGGATGACCTATTTCTACACTTCATGGACATTAGCTCAATCATTGGATTAGGTAGTCTGAGAATCTAAATTGAAATATCAGACAGAACAAAATAAAGATGAATTCTAAATTACATCAATCATACTTTAATGAGTTTACAGAGTACTTCTGATTTCAAAGATTCTGCAAAATAACACTGTCATAAATATTTGTCAAGAACTGGGAAAAAGAAACAATGCTACAGTAATAGATACATGTATATCTCCTTGATATCCATGACATAATAATCTAAATATAACAAAATTTTCTCCTTTTTAAAATCAAAATACAGAAAAAATTAAAAGATTATAAATGTAAACAATTTAAAATAAACTACATGTATTTGTGAAATATTTTAATTTTAGTAGATTACTAAACTGGTCTTATCATTCCTACTAAATTAACAACCTTACAATTTCCAGTGACATGTTTTAAACTGTTACAGTAGATATAATTATACATGTTCACTGCAGTTTTCAGAAATACTTATTTGAGCATATTAGGTCCTGGTTAGAACAAAATTTAATGAATAAAAATATTAATCTTAATTGTTCATGTATTAATTTCCTTGTACTGCAATCATCACACACATATTTTCTAAATATATGGAAAACAGCATGTATATACTACATAGGATATTGTTAAACATTAAATTTTCTTCTATAATCTATAGACATATAAAAATATGCAATGGGTATAACAAGTCAGAAGTTCCTTCTCCAAATCTCCATTGATTTTGCCATGTCTGGTTAAACATCTTAGCTTGATCCATCTAACTTTCTTTAATATTCTTGAGCTGATATGGGATGACCTCTACTTTGATTGATGGCACAAATCTTTTATGGAAACACTGAAGTACTTTTTTTTTTGGTTCTTATCTATTCCAATTAATGACCCATGATCTGAAATCATATGTGTTCATTTTTACAATAACATTTAAAGAATAGCATAAGGAATTGCACTACTCGAGTTTCATTCACTCAATGAAATGAATAAATTTCCAATATAATAAATGAAGAATTAATATGAAATTATTATAAAATTTACAAATGCACTTGATCAAGAAAATTAATATTCTTGTCATGCACAATCTGTATCTCTTTTTTATTAATTAGAAAATGAGATATTAATTAAATCAAACCTCATTTAAAAAGGTAACTTGAACAATTTAATACCTGTTCCAATAATGTTACAAATATTAGGCCCAAAAAGCAAGGATTTTATTTTTCATAATTTCTTGAATGAATGCATTTTTATTTTTTGGCAATGTTGGGATATTAGTCACATCCTGACATCCTTGTACTGTTTATTCATCGTTTTTAAATCCGTAGTCAGTAGATCATTCATAACTTTCAGTAAAATGAATAGTTAAATAATTACCTGATGAAAATACTATCAACAATCAAACTGTCAACATCATCATTGGACTTTGTCAAATGCACCGTGACTTTTCTTCCCTGTTCGGACTGCATATAGCATAATACTTTACAGGATACTCTCACGTCTTTTCTTTTTTTTCCCATTCTCACTTAAAATTTTAGTGTAGTGGTGAAGCGAGAAATACACAACAGCACAATGCGTCAATGACTTTCTTCTGATCGGAATGGTCGTGCAACTTGCCACGTTCCGTATCGAAAATAAACAAGTCCTCCTTTATTGGTTCATCCACTTGCATCACGCTAATCTCAAATGCTTCTAAGATTCCTATGCTTTGTTTTGTTATAAGACTTTCTCCTGAAAAACGTCCTTTGTTTTTAGTCCTAAAAATAAGTGACAACAAACATCAAGTATGACAGAGGAAATTCGTTTCCGAGATGCTTAGCATCGCTGGTTTAAAGTCGCCTGTTTCAAACGCTTTGGTGATTCGCAAGAGTTATCTCCCTGTTAACGCAAACCTTACCTTAAATTCGCCCCGTTTTAAATTCGCCCATTTCCGACTAGGGCTAAAGGGGTAAAAATAAAACGGGGCCGAAAAATTCCCTGTATACAGTATATATTCTCTCAGCTAGTGTACAATGAGTGAAGAACCATCATTATGGATTTTTATACTTGAATTGCTTTAGATCTACTGTAAATGTATTACATTTGGCGTGTACCATATTTGGAGGAATTTCAATTTTCAGCAAGTTAGCGTAGATTTGATTTAGTGAATTTGCTATTTATTAAAGAAAATATACAAGACATTTAAAGAATTTCAATTGAGTTAGTGGACTCTGCTTTCCGCCAAAATCGCTAAATAGAATACACTGCTAAATGTAATACTTTTACAGTATCAGGTGATTATGTTGAATTTTGATTGTACTAAATAAATTAATATTTGTTATTATTAAAAACTAAGGGCTATCACTGTTCTCACAGATCTACTTAGTGGACGCCGGCGACGCTACAGGGTCACGCCTGTTCATCACAAAAGATGGAGGTGACAATTTTTATGAGTCCCAGCTTCCTTTCCATCTGACCGGGGAAATCTTGTTTCACCCAAACAAGGCACATGAAGATTATCTGCTAGCTTCATCTGCTCTCCTGTCAACAAAGGTAGGAAAAGACAGGATAGTGTATGATAAAGGGGAGGATCATTCGGTGGCATAATAACCCACCAGAAATACACTGAGAACAATCTATCATGCAACTTTGTTCAGCACCTAATTTTCACTGCATAAATAAATCAGTGTTTAATTTATCTTACCCATTCTTTCTAAAAAAAATTAATTAACTATAGTTTCTTTTAATGGAAATGCTAACATACATCATGCATTCTTTGTCACAGATTAAAAGTGGTAATAAGAATTTGATGGTAGGTATGAATACTTTTCATTTCTATATCATGTCCTTTGTGTTGTAAAGCTTAGCTCATGTAGCTAGCTCATTGTGTCGTCATTGTCATTGTCACATATATATATATATATAGAGCTGCACTAAAAAAAAACTTTCAATGAATGCTCCCCTCACAAAAGAAGAACAACAATGAATTCAGTAATAGAGGCATGTCCATGTTTAAATACCCCAAAAGAACCCTAGTGAATTCATTATTAGAGGCAAGTAACCCTAAAGAGCCCCTTTTCCTTCCAGTCTTGCAGAATCCTCAGGGGCAAGTGATTTAATTAATAGTAAGCCTTGGAAATAGGGGTAAAATTTTAACCAAAAAACAAACCCAGCGGACCACGTAATAATTGCAAAGCATGTGCATGGGAAGGGGGGGGGGGACGGAATAGTTCATAAAGCAAAGCAAAGCAAGCTCAGAGGGATGTTAAGTCTTGAATTTTGTTGAATTGTGTAAGAAAATTTAAACACTAAAATGAATGTGAATTGGAGTTATGAAGATGTCAGTTGTTCTGGTTAAGTACCTGTGACTGAAAGTTTAATGGGCTCTGAATTCTTTTGGATCAACATCCTGCAGGGTGGTATTAAAAAGGAAGAACTTTGCATGTCGGGATCTAAAAAAGGTCTCATAACTAATCAAAAGAATGTGGCATGAATTGAAAATAACATTTAATCTGGGTACAAATACTAATAATGAAAAGAAAATCTTAGGTAACAGCTGATATGGATTTCTGTCAACAGAATTAAGAGAGTATGTTTTATTCACTCATTATAAAAGTTAATACAGCCATGATTGTGGGTATTTTGAATTAGATATATTAACAACAGAATTGAGCATGCAACAAGTTTTAAGGATGTGTCCTTGGTTATTTGAAATATGTGCAAAGAGATATTATAAATGGCAAGAACTTTTATGCCCAGAGATTGAAGATCAGGGCCACACTTTTGTCTTTATATGTCAATATTCACAAATTCAGTTAATATATAATATATTATATATAATTATGTATGAATTTAACAGTTCTATGCTGTTTACATACTAGATTTAATCCATTGGTGCACTTTGTCAATATCCGCACAGATGTCTGCTTAGATATATGATACATTCTGCATGATTCAGCTTACAGTGGTGTGTGATGATTAAGTTTAGAATCATAACTCATCTCCATAAAAGGATTGTTACCCCCCCCCCCCTTCAATATTTTTTGTGAAATTTCTGATACATGCCAATTAAAAATGATTCTTTATGCAATGTGTAAACTTGTCACTTCCAGCTATGAAATATTAGTCTTAAACTTAAGAAGTTTCAGTGTTCAATATAATTTTTTTAAAGTCAAAGATGTGTCATAATGCCTTCACCAATCCTGGTTATGCATCACCCAAACTGAACCTCAGAAAGTCGCCATTTCCATCTGTGAAAAAAAGCTTCACACAATCTTTAGCAGTTTTATTTTTGAATTATATAATGCACTGAAAAATGTAATGGATAGTTCTGAGGTCACCTTAGGAGGGGTCTGAGATCACTCAGTTCAGGAGAGTGACTGAATACCAAGGTCCAGGCATGATCTTGGAATGTTGTTGACATTCTGTTGTAGACTTTACTAATGGCGCATACTTTACCATGGTGATGATTTTTCCATTTCAGACATTATACGCCAGTTTTGATAATGGTAGGACCTGGAGGATGGTCGACACTTATGTACAGACCTATAAATGGTAAAAATTCACCACAGTGGTAATCTATGGTAATTGTGGTAGGAACTTATATTCATTAGACAAGAAAATGGAAAAGAAATAAAGATTCACAAAATTTATTTAAATTAAGTAAAAATTTACTTCATACAAGACTTTATATTTTAAGATCCTTTTGCCATAAAAAGGCATAATATATATATATTTTTTTTTTTTTTTTTTTTTTTTTTTATTGACTTTCACAAGTACACAAAGCAGACTATACATATATATATAAGCAACATATAAACACATATACACGATAATTGTCTTGATAATTTCATTAGTTTACAGCAGTACAAAGTTTACTTGTATACGTGAAAGTTATTTTATTTTATTAAAAAAAAAGAAAGAAAAAGGGGGGGGGGGTCAGCAGTCGTAGAAAAATGCATTCAAATGTTTATAATTAGCTAATGTAAATCCTTAAAATTAGCATATAATAACGTTTTACCATAAAAACAAATGATTTTTTTTCAAAGAACATCACAGATTTTTTGCCAGTGCCTTTCATATTCCATATATTTGCAACTTTGTAATAACAACACCTTTTCTATAAAAATTCTCTCTATAATCCTCTTTATTAGGATGTCGATATTTAGTTTTGGAATACTTTTATATTTACTTGCAAAAATAAATTGTTTTACAGTAAGTATAATCAAGTTTTGTACTTTACAAATATTCCTGTTCTCGTATTTTCCAAAAAGTATTGACATTTTATCAAAACTACAATGCATCTCAAATTTGTCCAAAACCCATTCTTCAATCCTACACCATAAATCTTTTACTTTGAAACATTCTACAAACAAGTGGTCAATTGTTTCTAAGTCACTTAAACAAAAAGTGCAAGCTGGTGAGTCTATCAGCTTCAATTTAAAAAGATAATAATTTGTTGGAATAATTCTGTGTAATATTTGAAATTGGAGCCAGTGAAATTTGGATTCCTGAGTAACTTTGAAAGGAAGTTCAAATATTTTATTCCAATCTGCTTCATCAAAGAAAACATTATTTTCATTCCATTTTAAAAGAGAACTGATTGGCTCTCTCTTGTTATTTATAAATATTTTATACATATCTTTACACCCTTTATTACTTCTATAAAAAATGAAAGTTGAATGTGGAATATTTGGTCCAATAACCTTTAATCTTTTTATGTCCTCTATTCCTGCATACTTCAGTCTTTTTAATATAGCCCTCTTAAGACCATTATATTCAACAAAATTTGTTTTCACTTTCAAGTTTACTATGGTATCGAAGCTTAAAAAGTTACCATCATTATCAAAAAGGTCATTTAAAAAGACAAAGCCTTCCTCAAAATAGCTTTTCCAGAAAAAAGATTTTCCATTAATCAATATATATGGGTTATTCCATATATGTTCTAATAACACATGTTTGTTTTCTTGGTTTATATTTATAAGTCTTACCCAGGAATTAAGGACATCTTTCCAAAAATTGTTTGTTAAATTCTTTGTTAAGTTTAAAATGTAATCCGAGCCCCTTATCCACATGTTTTCAATGTCTGTTTTTAGTTCAGCTTTAAACAACTTTACCCATTTTGCATCTGAATGAATGAGTCTTCTAACCCAACTTGATTTAAGTGCAGAAATAAATTCTGTGTAATCTACCATTTTCAGCCCTCCATATTTATAGTCCTGAATTATAACATTTTTCTTTATTTTATGTATTTTACTATTCCATAAAAAAAGAAACAACTCTGTCTCAAACATTTTTAGAAATTCAGGTTTAGGATTTGGTAGTGTAAGAATCAGATGATTTAGTTTTGGTATTATAAGAGTTTTAATTACTGTTAATCTACCAATTGGGGTAAGTTTCCTCATACTCCAACTACATAGGAGTTTTTTAATATCATTTAATTTTGACATGTAATTTAATTCAAGCATTTCCTCCAGATTAACTGAAAATTTTATTCCTAGCAAATCAAAGTTTGAATTATCCCAATCAAGCTTCCATCGAGAATGGTGAAAAACTTCCTTGGAATATTTCTTACTTCCAATCCAAACCATTTTTGTTTTTAAGAAGTTAATTTTTAAACCGGAAATATTTGCAAAATAATCGAGTTCTCTTAGAATACCATCCATTGAGGTAGGTGAACCATCTGAAATAAGGGATGTATCATCAGCATATTGTGAAAGTTTATATTCTTCGCCTTCGATTGTTATGCCTTTAATGTCTTTATTATTTCGAATAAGAATTCCAAGTATTTCTGCACATAACAAAAAGAGATATGGTGAAATTGGGTCGCCCTGTCTACAGCCTCTTTGAGGAAATATATAGTCTGAGATAATACCATTTTGTATTACACATGATTTAATACCACTGTAGAAAGTCTCAATCCATTTTTTAATGGAGGGCCCAAAGTTGAAAAAGTCCAATGTTTGATATATAAATTTCCATGAAATTGTATCAAATGCTTTTTCAAAGTCTATAAGCATTAGTAAACCAGGTACTTGGTTTAATTCTGTATAATGCATCAAATCGTATATTAATCTAATATTCTCCCCTATGAATCTTCCTTTTATAAATCCAGTTTGATCTCTATTGATTAATTTATCTAATTTTGTTTTCATTCGTTCAGCAATACAACCTGAAGCTATTTTATAAACAACATTTAGTAGACTAATTGGCCGCCAGTTTTTTAAAAACTGATTTGGTTTTCCTGATTTTGGAATACAAGTTATAATTCCAAGTTTATTTGACTCTGTAAAATGTGTTAGATCATAAGAATTGTTTATTGCTCTTGTAATAAAAGAACCTATATCTTTCCAAAATAATTTGAAAAACTCGCAAGTAAATCCATCGGGGCCAGGACTCTTCTCATTTTTCATTTGTTTTAGGAAATTAAAAACTTCAGAATTTGTCACTGGACCTTCAAGACTTTTTGATTCTTCTTTACTTAACTTGGGAATATTTTTATAGGTTTTTAATTTTTCATGAATATTTTCAGATTCAACATTTTCCCTTTTTTTATATAAGCGTTCATAAAAAGACTTTGTTTCCTCTAAAATATCTTTCTGAGTAGAAACAAATGATCCATCATCTCTTTCTATTTTTGGAATTTGCTTACTGACATAGTTTCTTGATTCTAAACTAATAAAGTATTTTGATGGTTTTTCTCCTTCCTCAATCCATTTAACCTTTGACCTGATACATTGTCCTTTAAACCTTTTTTTTCTTATTTCTTCTATTTCTGTTTGTTTTTCTGAAAGTTCATTTATTGACTGTTCTGTTAAATTTTGTTCTAATTCAAATATTTCTTTTTCTAATTGTTTTTCTCTTTCATTTGTTTCCTTCTTTTTGTAAGTGGAATAAGATATTGACTTTCCTCTTATCTCCATTAGTAAAATATCAAGAAAAAGTTGATCACTAATAGTAAATTGAATATCATCATTACCTAGACAACTAAGTCTTTCCATATTGTAAACAGGGCAGACATACTGAACTTTGACCTCTTCAATCTTATATTTTATCTTTTTAACAAATTCCTTATCAGTTAGTAAAGAGTTATTAAATTTCCAGAATCCTCTTCCTTTTATGAACTCATTTAATTTACAATTTAACACCACTGGTGAATGATCAGAACGATAACTATTCTCGTAAGTTACAGAAGGAGTCATGGTAAACAAAGATTCCGATATTAAGAAAAAGTCAAGCCTAGCTTGTTTAATTGGGTTTTTTCGTCTCCATGTAAATCTTTTTAAGTTTGGGTTATTTTCACGATATACATCCTTTAGGTTTAGAGCATCCATAAGTTTTAAAACTTCAAGTCGTGATTTAGGATTATTTAAATTTTTGTAATTTGTTGAATCTAACTCTTTATCAAAAATTAAATTGAAGTCACCTGCAATAACAATGTTTTGAGAACTGTTTATCTCCTCTATTGTATTAAGTAAACTTAAAAAAAAATTGGGTCTATCACAATTTGGACCGTATATATTTATCAATAAAAAAGGTATGTCTTCAATGATGACATCTAAAATAAGATAATTTCCCTCATTATCCTTAAACTCGTTGTATATTTTTACTTCACAATTGTTATTAAATAAGATGGCAACTCCTCTTGAATTCGATTTAAAAGAACTAAAAAAAGCTTTATACCCCCACTGTGTTCTTATCATGTTCTCATCTTTTTCCATAAAATGTGTATCTTGAAGAAAATAAACATTATATTTCTTAGCTTTTAGATTTTTGAAAACATCACCTCTTTTATCTATATCCCCCAGGCCTTGGCAGTTTACTGACAGTATTTTTATGTTATTTTCACTATGTCCCATAAATGTCTATATGATGATATGAATAATGCTGACCCCCAGTTGTCAAAAACAAAAATTGCAAAAAAAAAATTGAAAAAAGTATGGGAAAAAAAGACATGCCTCTTGTTGTTGATAATTTGGAGGGGGGATTTTGCCAAAAACTTTTTATAAAGTTATGATAATAAATTGGAAGTAGGCACATTTATAAAAATTAAAATGCTAACGGATTGTAGAGAATACTATGCACAGAGACTTTTCTATTTAAGAGCAAAAAAGGATATGAGCATAGAAAGTTATGATAAAAGTTTAATAACTTAAACAATAACAGAGAAAACTCAGGTTTTAAACAAATCATAACTTGATTATTTTGTATCAATTAGATAATGTATACTTGTTTGATATTATGGAGACTATGTGCATAGATTCCCCCATTGTTATGTGGTATTTAAGTCAAATACTATATTCACATATTATGTTAACACCAGGCAATATTTGAAATGAAAAGAAAATTGTTTACCAAATGCGAAAGACAAAACAGGAAATATAACATTTCAAAAAGAGCCGGAATAATTAGGTAGAAAAAAATATTCCGGAATATTTCAATAAACACACCTGATATATTTATTTCACTTTTAAACACTGTTATCGGTAATAAGATTGGTTCAAGATAGTGTTCCACTCAAATAACTGTCGGAATTCACCTGATATGCGAGATTGAAACATACATATCAAACTGAGACTGGTAACTTCTTTGCCGCACCGAGGCCTGCTTCCTTAATGTGCGAGAAGCGACGGGGTCCGATGTTATTTCCGTGCCATCTTGACACAACTACAAGTGCATTGTTAATTTCGTTATCGGCCAGCGTTTTTAATAGCAACCTACCGGCTCCATGCTCTCCATCGTCATTTGAACCTTCGTGCACCACTCCATCACTACTTGAGAAACGGTAGGCGTAAATATTGTGACTCGCGCTTGGCACAGTCTCGACACGCATGATATCCACCAGCGATTTCTTGATCTGTTTGTAGGAGTCGACCTGTGTAGCGTGTGCCATGAACCGGTTCCCGTTATCTTCTATGGACTTCCCTGTACTAACGGCAATATTTACCACGTCATCTGTGATCACTTCGTCTGCGGTAGGCAAAGGTCCGACTTTCTCCCGGTAAACGGAGTTGCTTTGCGTAAATACAAGTTTATCACCCTTGATTTTTGACTCGATACTGCGTTCCGCATACTTCTTTTGAACTTCGTAGAGTTGCTTTCTCTTCTCTCGGATCTCCTCCGGCTGCTGCTGTGCTACTCTTATAACTGATTCTTTTTCTTTCAAGACTTTAATATGCTTCATCACAAGGTCTTTTTGTGTCTTATCACTGAATTGTACACAGATGGGTCTCGGGAACTTTCTTTGTACATCATACTCCCCCATGCGGAAAAGTTTGTTTATTCGGAGTTCGTTAACTGTGGCCTCTTCCATCTCCATTTCAGATATGAAAACATTTCTAAGAATATTAGCAAGATTTTCCGGGGACTTTCTCTCTGGACCTTTTTCCTCCAACCCACTGATAATAATATTGTTCTCCATTGATCTTGATTTGAGGTCGATAATTTGACTATTTTGCGTGTTCACACGATATTCAAGCTTAACTACGTAATCTTTGAGTCTATTTAATTCTCTCTCCATTTTCTTCTGATTGTCCTGCAACTCTGTTACGAGGTAGATAGTATCATTGGCCTGCTCCTGAACATTCTCTAGCCTCTCCTGAATACCGTTCTTCGCTCTAATTTCTTTAGTAATGTCATCTAGATGCTTGCCCTGACCATCGAGTCGTAACATGAAATTAGCTAGCGTTGTCTGTATGCTGGAAATGCCCTGCATAATTTCTCTAAGTTGAAAGCCTTCAGTTTTCTGTTTACCTTGTTCTTCTTGTTCCATTGACAATTCACCCGTATCATCTGTTTTGTCTAGCGCTCGCTTTTTAGAGATCTCCGCCATTGTGAAGACAGAATAACACTGTATTTAGCTATATGAGTATCGCTCACCGTTTAACAGTTAAATGCCACTGACTTACCGAAAAGTTTACCAACTCTTTGGTGTATCTATTTCTTTCCGTAAACTACTTAAATCTGCACATAACACATAGAAGAATATCTTGATTAATATCACTGCATTTTAAAATTCAGAGTTTCACTTTTTCACAGGGTTTTTGGCAAAAATTCTCCCTCTGCCAGGAATGTGTGTCTTACATGTTGGGCATGCGCACTTCGTCCATAATATATATATTTATTATAAATATATTTTATATACTGTAAACATGGTGATGGATTGTTTTCTGTGTTTTACAGGGGAAGTATAGACGACGACCCCAGAACAATCTATGCAACAGTTGATCCTCAGAAGACTCACCCATTCCTAGCGACCTGTATGTTGTTACATGTATATTACAAAAACTAAAGATATTAATATATTGTTAACGTGTATGTTTACAATAAGCTGTTTGATATATATAAGTATATTGTGTGTTGTTGACTCTTTACTTACAGTTGTAGCTATACGGTATATACTACACCGGTTCTCTGATGGGACGGCAGGCAGTAAAACTAAAATCTTAGAGAACGTCGTGTCATTTGGACATCAGGAAAAATTCCTCTATGCCTCAATTTATTCACCACAAGTAGTAAGTACCTAAAGTTAATACTAAGTGAATTTTTAAAGATGAAGAAGGGGATAAAGTTTTGACAAATTTTCACTTGTTTTGGTAGAGATTCTGTCTTTGGAGATTAAACATTGAATTTTATTATATCAAATATTTATAAGGAGGTCTTAAGGATTTCTAATCTCAACTGATGTTTTGTAGAGAGGGAATAGACTGATAAAAATATCGACCAATCAAGGCAAAACTTGGCATACAGCTCAGCTTCCAACCATCACAGGAGATAGGGTGAGATCATGTTCATGCAAACAGAAGTGGAGTCATTGTCAAATGAAATCTCATTGACTGATACAGTAAAACTCGTTTAGTACGAATATGGATATTGCGCATTCACGGTTATAACAAAGTCATCTTAGATCCCCAGCTATATAAATTTAATGAATTTCTCTTACGGTTATAACAAATTAAGGATATAGCGAAGTAATTTCATAGGTCCAAGTGACTTCATTATAATCAAGTTTTGCTGTAGAACCTGGAGCTAATATTTATCAAACTTTATAGAAATAGGACACCTTTTATTTTTTTTCTGATACATGTTTAAGTTTTAGTATACATTTTGGTTTAATTGAAAGGTGGAAAATGAATTTCATTTCATGTAATAACTTTCTGGTCAGGATTTTATATTTAATGGAGTCCATTTACTCTTTTGTTTGATTTCAGTTTTTCTCTGTGCTGGACATGAATGAGAAGTTGGTGTTCATGCATGTGGATAACCCAGGAGGTAAGCAGGGTTCACCACTGAGATGTTTGTCTTTTGAAATTATATGAGAATGTATCAAAGGAGTTAACAGATTATGAACAAATATGCATGAAATGAAAATGTTATGTTATTTGTAGTAATTAGATATAATTGTTATTGTCCAACATTGAGATGCCTCTGTGCCTGTCAAACTAAATTTTCCTCCAAGGTTAGGGGAGGGTTTAATTTATTAGTCATCAGAAGCACCATCTGTTTTGAATGGTCACAACTAAGACCATAATCAGTACTTTTATTGATAATTGTGTCCAGTCTTGAAAATAGTGTTTATTCAAAATCTGTTATGGAGACAAATAGCCAAAATTGTTGAAAATTAGTACATGTACCACAGAAATTTTCTTTTCAATATTTTTCACATGATCATAAAATGATATCAGATGTTATTTGCTTGACATGAGTTAACACTGGCTTCCTATTTGTTTTTAGATACAGGACACGGGACACTGTATACATCTGGAGCCCTGGGAGTGGTTTACTCTGAGTCCCTGCCTAAACACCTGTACCCTAACTATGGGGATGTAACGGACTTCTACCGCGTGGAGTCGATGCGGGGGGTTTACATCACCAGTCAGATCAACGAGGATAACAGCATCCACAGCATGATCAGTTATAACCGCGGGGCAATGTGGCAGAAACTGCCCCGCCCTAACAATGCCCCATGTAAGGACGAAAAAAAGGTCAGTCTCCTGAACGCTGATTGGTTCAGATCTTTGTTTTTACTGTTATATATTTAGTAAACATATACCTATTATGAACCTTAGCTCTGTTCATATATTAACATAAAGATAGTATTCAATGAAATGAGCTTTCAAGTCAGACCTGATTTTGTTTTCAAATTCTTATTTAACTCCTGATGACATGAAATGTTGATCTTCCATTTCAGCCCTGCCACCTTCAGATACACGGGACGTACAGCATTCAGAGGGGGGTCATCGCCAGTCCCCCGCTAAGCTCGAAGGCAGCCCCAGGGATAGTTCTTGTTCATGGTAAGTACATGGGTACTAACCCCACTCAGCACAAATGCAGTACCAGGGATAGTTCTTGTTCATGGTAAGTACATGGGTACTAACCCCACTCAGCACAAATGCAGTACCAGGGATAGTTCTTGTTCATGTTAAGTACATGTGTACTAACCCCACAGCACAAAGGCAGCCCCAGGGATAGTTCTTGTTCATGGTAAGTACATGGGTACTAACCCGACTCAGAACAAAGGCAGCACCAGGGATAGTTCCTGTTCACCGTGAGTAACGTTACATACTTGTACTGACCGGTCACCAACCTAGCACAAAGGAAGCAATTGTCATGTTCATAGCCATATCTTATCTGTTTGTGATGAAATGTACTGCCTTCTATTATAGTAAGAAGAAGGTATGGTTTTAGCTTTATTGCGCCCTAAAAATGTAATGACATCAAGAAGTTTTGAAACTGGCTTAAATATTAGTTTAATAAATGACTTTGATAAATCAGGAAAGAATATGGCATGAAGGTTTACCATTCTGCAAATATGACGTCATTAATATGAAGCATTTCTCTATTTTCAACAGAAAAAGCCTCAAAATGGCACATTTCAAGGGTGATTTTCCTTTAGAAAAAGTGTCCACAGCCGTCGCTCGCGTTATTTTTTTGATATTTTGTGCAAAATTCAATAACAAATCACATATCTCAAGATCTTTGTGGGCGATGCCTGTGGACAATGTTATCTGAAAGAAAATTCCATTGAAAATTAGTGTCTTCTGCAACTTTTTAAGAAAATACTGGAAAATGCACATGTTTATGACATCATAATCAGCATTTAAAAACACATGTGAGAAAAATGACTTGTATGATTTTTCTGCATTGAATTTCAATTATTTAAAAAGCATGAGGTTTCAACTTTTACACCAGTGTCATTTTTTAGAAAATCACAGGGCAAAATTTGTATGGAACCCATACCTTCTTCTTTATAAACATGGCTGTATGATAGAAGCACGTCTACATACACCAGGAATAATTTTGTCAGATGAGTGATTTGTTGTCAGCAGTAAGTTTCTGTAGTCTGTATGTAGACTCAGTTTTATGATTTCTATAACTAGGTCATGTGGCAGATGCCCTACAGACCACTCACCCTGATGTGTACGTCACCAGTGACGGCGGTTACACCTGGGCCAAGGTAGGATGTAAGACTGAAAAAAATCTGAGATAGAGCCCCACAGGGATTTTTTAAAATATGTTTTAAATGTAATGTTAAGCTATTTTTGATTATTTAATGCATCTTTCCATCGCAGCATAATAATAGAGTAATTCTTATGATTAGAATTCAGGGGCGGATCCAGCAATTTTTTAAAGGGGGGGTTCCAGGGTTGTGTCCCTCTACCCCCCCCCCCCCCCTTTTCCACACTCTCAAGCAAAGATTTACACACACGTATTGAAAGAGATCTTATGTTGTGATAAATAATATCTTTGTTTACATTCCTTTTTTCTTTGAAAAGGTACCCCAAGTCAGAATTTAAAAAAATCATTTTAAAAACTAATGAAACCTTATAAAATTGAATGGATCTGCTGCATTTCCGAAAAAAAAATTCTTTTGGAATTTGAAAAAAAAAACTATTTTGGGGTAAGATGCGGATGGGGTTTAAAACAAATATTTTTATATTAGTTCATTCTAAACATATGCTTAGAAAGGGTACATATATATAGCCAACACAGCCAAAGATCGCGGGAATATCATATCAAATTAAACCTCGCATGTTACTTACCATATATAAGATAATACATGTATAAAAATAAGTAGAATATTCTCTACCATTCGCTCACAAAAAGGTATAATAATGAATGTGAATGAAGGAAACTAAATATGTGGGAATCTAGCTATTCAATACATAAGTTAGATGTACAAATATATTTTCTCAGATAACGTTTTATCTCTCTCTCTCTCCATTTGGCAAAAAATAAAGGGGGGGTTCCAACCCCCGGAACCCCCCCTCTGGATCCGCCAATGGAATTTTTACTTTAAAAAATGATTATCCCCATAAACTTGAGTGCAATGTTTATTGATTAATTACTGCTTAGTTAATGACACTTTTGAAAACGTCTCTTGAGAATTTGTTTTTCTACTGTAAACATGGTAAAATGCTTTGAATTCTTTTCTAATTATTTTTAGGCATTGACTGGTCCCCACCAGTACCAGATAGCTGACAGTGGGGGTTTACTGGTGGCCGTCTCAGTAGACAACCCTCAGCCGACGACAATCAAGTTCTCAGTGGACGAGGGTCAGTGTTGGCACGAGTACAAGTTTGTACAGAACCCTGACGAGGCGATCGTGATGACGGGACTGCTGACAGAGCCCGGGAACCAGGCCCTCTCTGTGGGGGTGTGGGGGTATCACCCAAAGAACAAGACATGGACGGCATTCATCATCGACTTCTCCAAGGTCATCAAACGCCAGTGTAAGTGGTGAAGCTTGGGAGAATTATTCAATGTTTAACATTTAGTTTTAAAAGAAAAATTGTTAGGTTCTTATAGTCCAACACAATGTTTTTGGTTGAAAAATTCCATATTGCTGGAGAGTGTTGCACAAAAAGTAACTCAAGATCATCAAAACTCTGAGACGGTTGTGTTACTTGGGAGTAAAAAAAAAATCGTAGGTTCGTAGTAATCCCACACAGTACTGTAGATTCAAAATTTATAGGCGTGGAATTAATTATCGCGTATTTCACGAGAAGCAACATACACGAAATAAAATTACTCGCCTTTATTTCTATGATGCTGATATCTGTCTAAAATCTCTTGACCAACCGTCCATTTGCGAATTATTATTCTCGCGATTTGACATTGAAGAGCTCGTTCACCATGATAAGTACTCGCTAAAAACAACAGTACTTTTTAGTACAGTATATTCGATATTGCTTTAGAATACTTCATAGAAATTTGGTTTGTGTTCCTTCATTGTAAACTATCTAGTTTAAAAATTTCTCAATAATGAATTTTTTTCTGTGAACGAAATGTCTTAGATAGTCATCATTTTGCTATTCATGCAAGCCATGTATTTCTTGATTTATAACAAATGTTTCAGTGATCAAAATGTCTTAGATAGTCATCATGATCTAAATGTCTCTTTACTCTAGGTGGGTCAGATGACTACAGTATATGGGTCCCCCACTCTAAGCTCCGAGTGAATGAAGAGGCGTACGTAAAGGGGTGTCTGCTGGGGATGAGGGAAGAATTCAAAAGGATCAGGAAGGACAGCTGGTAAGTCAGAACTAGATCTGCTAGGGATTAGGGAAGAATTCAAAAGGATCAGGAAGGACAGCTGGTAAGTCAGAACTAGGTCTGCTAGGGATGAGAAAAAATTCAAAAGGATCACGAAGGACAGCTGGTAAGTCAGAACTAGGTCTGCTAGGGATGAGGGAAGATCTCAAAAGGACCAGAAAGGACAGCTGGTAAGTCAGAACTAGGTCTGCTAGGGATGAGGGAAGATCTCAAAAGGACCAGAAAGGACAGCTGGTAAGTCAGAACTAGGTCTGCTAGGGATGAGGGAAGATCTCAAAAGGACCAGAAAGGACAGCTGGTAAGTCAGAACTAGGTCTGCTAGGGATGATGGAAGATCTCAAAAGGACCAGAAAGGACAGCTGGTAAGTCAGAACTAGGTCTGCTAGGGATGAGGGAAGAATTCAAAAGGATCAAGAAGGACAGCTGGATAGTCAGAACTAGGTCTGCTAGGGATGATGGAAGATCTCAAAAGGACCAGAAAGGACAGCTGGTAAGTCAGAACTAGGTCTGCTAGGGATGAGGGAAGATCTCAAAAGGACCAGAAAGGACAGCTGGTAAGTCAGAACTAGATCTGCTAAGGATGAGGGAAGATCTCAAAAGGATCAAGAAGGACAGCTGATAAGTCAGAACTAGATCTGCTAGGGATTAGGGAAGAATTCAAAAGGATAAAAAAGGACAGCTGGTAAGTCAGAAATAGGTCTGGTAGGGATGAGGAAAAAATTCAAAAGGATCAGGAAGGACAGCTGGTAAGTCAGAACTAGGTCTGCTAGGGATGAGGGAAGAATTCAAAAGGATCAGGAAGGACAGCTGATAAGTCAGAACTAGGTCTGCTAGGGATGAGGGAAAAATTCAAAATGATCACGAAGGACAGCTGGTAAGTCAGAACTAGGTCTGCTAGGGATGAGGGAAGATCTCAAAAGGATCAGAAAGGACAGCTGGTAAGTCAGAACTAGATCTGCTAAGGATGAGGGAAGTTCTCAAAAGGATCAGAAAGGACAGCTGGTAAGTCAGAACTAGATCTGCTAGGGTTTAGGGAAGAATTCAAAAGGATCAGGAAGGACAGCTGGTAAGTCAGAACTAGATCTGCTAGGGATTAGGGAAGAATTCAAAAGGATCAGGAAGGACAGCTGGTAAGTCAGAATTAGGTCTGGTAGTGATGAGGGAAAAATTCAAAAGGATCAGGTAGGACAGCTTGTAAGTCGAAACTAGGTCTGCTAGGGATGAGGGAAGATCTCAAAAGGACCAGAAAGGACAGCTGGTAAGTCAGAACTAGGTCTGCTAGGGATGAGGGGAAGAATTCAAAAGGATCAGGTAGGACAGCTTTTAAGTGAGAACTAGGTCTGCTAAGGATGAGGGAAGAATTCAAAAGGATCAGGAAGGACAGCTGGTAAGTCAGAACTAGGTCTGCTAGGGATGAGGGAAGAATTCAAAAGAATACGAAAGGAAAGCTGGTAAGTGAGAACTAGGTCTGCTGGGGATGAGGGAAGATCTCAAAAGGATCAGAAAGGACAGTTGGTAAGTCAGAACTAGGTCTGCTAGGGATGATGGAAGATCTCAAAGGATCAGGAAGGACAGCTGGTAAGTCAGAACTAGGTCTGCTGGGGATGAGGGAAGATCTCAAAGGATCAGAAAGGACAGCTGGTAAGTCAGAACCCAGAACTCTGGATGATTATAAATAGGTCAAGGACACATCAGACATCAGGTAAATCTAAGCCTCTAATTTATTAACTGCAGCATGTTTAATTTTTTTTTAAAAAATCAATTGCTCCAACAAAGGACAAACTCATTTACGTCAGGAGAAGTCCAAAAAGACAGGACTTGAACTTTTGTTAAAATCAGGTAGGTCAGGACTGGTCAAAGTCAGATAGATCATTTATTAAGTTAAAAAAAAACTAAGGTTAAGCCAGACCTATAGATGAATTTGTTTTGTTGATATTCTTGGAATACAAGGCTTCTCAGTACAAGTAACTTTAAATTAAGTTTATCTATCTTTGAATTGATAAATGCAATGCTTTAGATCTCTGACATAAAATTGGAGCTGCTCTTGGCCCTTGGTTGTCAAGATCTTGAAAGAAACAAGTAATAAATTCAGAAAATTTGTTTTTCCTCAGGTGCCACAATGGGTATAATTATACAATAGAGAAGAAAACAAAAAATTGTGTGTGTACCCGGGAGGATTATGAATGGTGAGAATTTTTAGACGAAGCATTTCATTGCTGCAGTGTTTATTTAATAAGATTTTGTTTTTGAAGTTTCTTTGGAATATGTCATAAAGTTTATAATATGAGAAAATATAGTAAAATCTCAATAGCATCAAAGTAGATTTTATTATAAGCTAAGTAAACTTCATATTAATTAATCGACACTTTCAAATGTCTTTGACAATTTGCTTTGAGTATAACTATACAAAAAATCTCGAACTTTTTTCCATTTTTTTCCCCCAATGTTTACAATAACAAGCAATGTTGATTTTTCTTCTGATCACAGTGATTATGGATACCTGAGAGGTGCGGGCTCAGACATCTGTCAAAAAGACCGCTCGTTTGTAAAACCAGACATCGACATTTGTCTGAGAGGCCATGAAGAGAAAATTGTTACTGAAGGGTAAGTGTAAAACCAGACATTGACATTTGTTTTAGGGGTGTATGTAAAACCTGACATGGAGATTTGTCTGAGGGGCCACGAAGAGAAAATTGTTACTGAGCGATAAGTGTAAAACCAGACATTGACATTTGTTTGAGGGGTAGGTGTAAAACCAGACGTTGACGTTTGTTTGAGGGTATGTGTAAATCCAAAATTTTTCGGAGGGGCCATAAAGAAAAAAAAATTACTGAGGGATAAATTTGATCTTTGGCATAAATGTTCATGTGTCCAAATGAATCACATTAATTAGTACTTACAGAAAGCATGGACACTTTCTCAGTAACATTAACTACTTGATAAGGTTTCTAGGCAAAAAAAAAAACCCATGGATAAGGAAATTTTTCTTTGCTATAACTGGTGTCCCCTGAATATTTACAGATACAGGAAGATCCCGGGAGATGTGTGTGTGGGAGGATTTTCTCCGTCGGGGCGACAGATAGACATGTCTGTACAATGCTCCGAGGATTCTAAAGAACTCGTACTGGAGGAAATTACCTACAAGAAGGTACATGTATTACGTGATGGTAGGGTACATAACAGTGACCAGTATAGGTTAGGTCATGCAAAGTTAATTCCTTGATTTTTCAGGCCTTTTTTTTAAAAAAAATGACGAATGAGGGCGGCATTTTTTAAAAACTTTTTTATTGCCCCAAAAACATGATGAGGCAGCTTTTTACATTGTACAAAACCTCAAAAATGTTGAGGGAGGTGATTAGTTTATATTTTATTGATTTAGCTTATAATAAAAAGGGTCAATGAGGCACCCTTGGAAGAGATGAGGGAGGGCCTGAGAACCAAGAAATTAATTTTTATGGCCTTAGGCTAAATAGACAGGTATACTATATAGGCATTATAAGGAAGGGAAAACTCAGTAGAGGGTTACAAAGAAAAAAACAGAACAAAGGAGAGAGAAATTGCACCACAAAAGCAATAGAAAAAAGAATTTTTTTGCATTATTTGCCTGACCCCCTGTAGATTCAATCCTGTTCCTTATTCACAACAGGTTGTAATTCTGTGGCACATTAAACTTAAAAATTTTTAATGCAGAGTTTATAACAGATAACATTGACATTTTTTTTATGCTTTTATCTCAAAGAGACAAAAATGTTTTAAAGATTATTTTACAATATATCATATTAAATTATACAAATTGATTTTTAAAAAGAAAGTTTCTCAGAAAATAGTTTTTTTCTCGTATTATTTAGAATGTCATTTTTAGAGTTGATTTATAACCTTTGACCTTTTAGGAGTCTGGAGGTCACAATAGCAGTGTGATAGCGGCGGTGGTGATCATCGTCGTGTTGTTAGTCGTCATCATGGGCGTCTTCCTGGTCCACAAATACATAATACTCCGGCGACAGTGAGTATCCACAAATACATAATACTCGGGCCACAGTGAGTATACACAAATACATAATACTCCGGCGACAGTGAGTATATAGAGGATATTCAATGTTTTGTTGTTGAATATGGAATTTATTTCACGAGTTGGACAGGATTTTTGATATTTTCACGAGTGCAAAGCACGAGTGAAAATATCAAAGAATAATGTCTCATGAGTGATATAAATTCAATATTCAACAACAAAACATTGAATTTTCTGTTTATTACATTTTTTAAAAAAAATTCTTTGATTTTTTCTTTGCCTCTGTCTTTTTGCAATACAGTCATAGGCTCGTGACGTCATGGTTGAGCGGTTGAGACGTCATAGCTATGTGAGGTGAAAACACTGTAAACATGGATTTAGCAACATAATTTGGTAAATTTGACAATTTTTTTTTTTGCTATCAGAATGGTTTATTTATTTCCAACTATCTTATATTAGGTCAAGGAAGATTTTTTTACAGCAATCTCCGTTATGGGAAGAGAAGTCGAGAGTTTTCCCGCACTTCTAATATTCGTCACACTGTGACAGGATATCATTTTGATATCCTTTCACACTGTGACAGGATATCATTTTTATTCAGTGAATAAATTACAGTATTTCATGGGTAAAAATGTAATAAACACAAATACATAATACTCCGGCGACAGTGAGTATACACAAATACATAATACTCAGGCAACAGTGAGTATCCACAAATACATAATACAGTGGATCCCGTTTAATCCAATAGTAAGTTTGTCTGCCTTCTGGTATCAGAATAGCCGAATATTCGAATAGCCGATTGCTCCATTTCGAGTCCAAACAAAGATTTATAGAGCTACATGTATTGACAATACATCGTAGCCAATTTTAAACTTCTTATAAATTAATGTGATTACATTTTTCAAATAAAATGATCTATAAAAATTGTTTTTTAAAAGTTATTGCCATTTTTAATCAGCACGTTTACATCCCTTCTTCGATGGCCGCCATTTTGGAAACGGAAGTAGACTAAATGCTTGACTTTATTCCGTAATTTATTTTTCCCCGGATAAATGGTACATCAAAATTAAACAAAAATATGAAATTGATTTGTTTTATTTGTTTCTTTAATATGGTTATGTATTTCATACTGCTTGTGACAAATCTCTAGTCAATAGTCCTGTAACTATGATGCATTTCAATGTCCCAGCAAATTGTCATACACAAGCTAATACGTTCAATAATTAAAATCTAACTTTGGAAAAAATTGCAAACAATTATCATAATTATCAAGTACATCACTGAAAAGTAATTTAAACCCAAACTAATCATCATAACTGTATCAAAACATATCAATCTTGTGTGCCAGTTATTAACACAGGTAAGGTGATTGTGTGCGTTCAGCCGTAACTAATCCCCTCATTATCATACTCAAGGTGTCAGACTGTAAACAAGGGCTTCACTAAGGAAGTAAGAGGTGTGAACAAGGTCACAATTATCAAAAAATACTACAATGGTCCAAATTTTTGTATCAGATAAAAGGAAATTCTGATATTTTCTCATCAGATTATCAGAAGAAATTATATGTGCTCTAATATTATATTGAAATAGCCGAAATATTCGTTTAAACGTTATCTGATTAAGTGGAAGCTACTGTACTCGGGCGACAGTGAGTATCCACAAATACATAATACTCCGGCGACAGTGAGTATCCACAAATACATCATACTCGGGCAACTGTGAGTATCCACAAATACATAATACTCGGGCGACAGTGAGTATCCACAAATACATAATACTCAGGCGACAGTGAGTATCCACAAATACATAATACTCGGGCGACAGTGAGTATCCACAACTACATAATACTCGGGCGACAGTGAGTATACACAAATACATCATACTCAGGCGACAGTGAGTATCCACAAATACATAATACTCAGGCGACAGTGAGTATACATAAAATAATACAGAATACTGTAAAATCACAAATTTTTGAGGTTTGAGGAAAAATATTGGTTTGTGGGGATTTGATTTCGTGGTTGGAGAATGTTTAGTAAGTAATGCATATGAAATTTTACATTTCATGGTGGTCTTAAATTTGTGGGTCTCTCAATACCTCGAAAACAACGAAAATTAAACTTCCACAAAAATTAGTGATTTCACAGTAATTCGGTTACAGTAAGAACAGTGTTCATTATTTCACTATCCCTGTTTTGTTTTGTAGTCGTGTGGTGTACAGATATTCCCTGTTGAATCAGAACGACGCGGAGCAGTATGATAATGAGTTTGAGACCGCAATATCTACCACATCCGCCACGGTATACCACGACTCAGATGACGACGAGGTTAGTGGCGTCCTGTCGATATACAGCAAAACTCGGATATAACAAAGTCGCAGGGACGTATGAAATTACTATGCTATATCTGTAATTTGTTATATCCGTATAAGGAATTCATTAAATTTATATAGCTGGGGATCCAAGATAACTTCGCTATATCCATGAATTCACAATATCCAAGTTCATACTTTAATTACAAATTTTACTGTAATTTTTTACTTGAGTGGAGTTTTCCCATTCATGATCTTGAGCAAAATTGTTTTTTACTGACAGAAAAAAAATTTTCTCGTCATTAGGTCACCTGAGTAAACTCAGGTGACCTATTGCTATCTGTTTTCGTCCGTCGTCGTGCGTCGTCCGTCGGGCGTTAACATTTGAACATTTTCAGCTTCTTCTCTGCAACCACTGAACCAATTTCAACCAAATTTGGCACAAAGCATCTATGGGTGAAGGGGAACAAAAATTGTGAATTTCATGATCCCTGCCCCCCTGGGGCCGGAGGGGTGGGGCCAAAACCACTAAAATTAATGCAATCTTTAAAAATCTTCTTCTTTACTCCTGGACATCAAGCAGTCAAACTGTTTGCATGATTGTAATCAGCAATGAGTCCTCTACCAAAATTGTGAAATTCATGGCCCTGGGGTCAGGGGTTCTAGTTCTAGGGTGGGGCTAAATAAGTAGGTAGTGAAAATGCATTATTTCTTTGAAAATCTTCTTCTCTGCTCCTGGGTATTAAATAAACCAACTCAGTACATAGTTATGATGAGCAAGAGTGCCTCTAACAAAATTGTGAATTTTATGGCCCCAGGGTCAGGGGTTCTGGTGTTAGGGTGGGGCTCTATTGATTATATAGTGAAAATACATGAATTCTTTGAAAATCTTCTTCTCTGCTCCTGGGTATTAAATAAACTAACTAAGTACATAGTTATGATGAGCAAGAGTGCCTCTACCAAAATTGTGAATTTTATGGCCCCAGGGTCAGGGGTTCTTGTTTTAGGGTGGGGCTCTAATGATTATATAGTGAAATGCATGATTTCTTTGAACATCTTATCCTTTGCTCCTGGTTAATATGCTAATGATCTAATTACATATTTAAGGCCAGGATTTTTTTTATTTTCAGTTTTACAAACCCTCCGCTCAAGGTTTTGAGTTTTCAGAAAAAAAAAAAAAATTTCTTTCCAATGTCAAATTTGAGTCGGGATCGAGATTTCAAATTTACGAACTCGCACTTCCGGTTTTAAGATGAAACGGCGGGTAAATAGGACACAGACTACCAATTATTTTGCTATACATTCCTTTATAATATAAAAAATGATTAAAAAAATTACACCAGCTCAACTTACCTGAAACTTGGCACAGAGTTAGAAGAATTCAAGTCCAAAAATTTTTCAGACTCTCAGGAAAATTCATCGCATGCAGTTTCTGCTAAGGCATCGCAAATAACCCCTACCCTGCTTTTTTCACTTTCTCTTCGGGGAAAGGGTAAATATGGGCCTCTTTACACCCTTCCTACTACGCGCTTAAGTGCAAAATTTCACATATTAACAATTCTATATTTTTTTTCAAACCCTCTCCTTTCCATCTATACCCAAAAATAACATCAGTCCACTCCATAAACACCCCAAAGAATTTTTAAGAAAAAACCTCTATTTTTAAACTGGAACTACTTGAGTGGTCAATGAAATAGGGGTAAAATTAGTAGTCTGTAACCTAATAAGGACACAAACCTTGTCTGATTTTGCTGAAATTTGACATGCTGGAGTCTTTTGTATCTACAAAGTGGCCGGTGAAGTTTCATTGAAATTGATGATTCCTAAGTAGAGTTATGGCCCTTTAATTGATGTGCTGGAACACCTTAAATCAGAGTGTAAAATAAGCATTGGGCACACAGTTCTCAGATTTGAAATGCTCACAGCTCACATGCATGACAGTTATTTTCTTTCCTTATATTTTTGTATACTAGATAAATATGTCCTACACAAATTTCAAGAACAAAACTTAACCTATTGCATAAGTAAATATTTTAAACAATTTTTCAAAGAAATACCTTCAGAAAGCATAAAATTCTTGGAAATATTAAAAATAAAAATATTTAGCACATTTTAATTTTAGTAAAACAAATATTAAAAAATTCTACAATATATAGGCTATAAAAAATTAGTATAAAAGTTAAGGGAAAGGGATTAATACCTTTGTTATAAGCAGATTATCCAACCTGGTCAATTCAGCCTCTGTCAGGAAGTGGTACTTACTACTCTAATTGGATTATCCCTGGTCATATTTAGACTTCTTTGATGGGTATTTCTTGTAACAGTATGCATAATTAGATAATAAATACCAAAATTTCTGTGAAATTTTGGATTTTATAATTCTGAATTTACAAGAAAAGGAATTTATATATGCATTTTACCTACATACATTCTTCAGGCTGCTGTAGAAAAGGGGAGGCAGCTCTGCACTGTAAACGTACCAAAAAAACAAAATGATTAAAAAGCATGTCTATATACTTTCAATGGTTCAGCATAGAAAATACATACCATGCCTGTGTCACCTATAATCACTCCTGGAGATGCTTGGAAGCTAGAACGGGGGGGGGGGGTAGAAAAGGTTCTATTAAAATGGAGTACATAAATTCTGTCTTTCTTGTGTATCACTATTTCTGCACAGTGTTTATCCAAAATCTTGAAAACACATGTCCTTGTCAAAAAATGATGATTTTGTCTGATATGCGACCACCGACAATGATGTCCAAGATGCCACAAGAGTAGAAGAAGTCAGTAGGACCAAACATCCCATATGAAATGTTGAGCACCTTACTGACCTCCCCTGTCTTGGACAATCACAGATCAGTGCCAGCAATCAGACAGCAGATATTCAATTCCAAAAGAAGAAGGAAAAAGAGAAAGTTTCAGAGAGTACACATTGATTGGCAAGAGATGATGATGACAGATGAAAACAGTGTAAAAAAGAAATCAAACACAAAAAAATAATACAAACTTAAGAGTCAGTTGACTATATACCTTTAACTTGGCTGTTGTGGACTGTAATATTGTTGACAGCTGTATCTTGTTTTCTGAATGATCATTGTCTCTGCTACTGGTACAAAATTGTTCACTTCTGACTGGCAACTGGCCTGATTTTTTATGAAGCCACCCATCCAGGCTATAACTGCTTGCAATCCCACATCAGTCAGCTAGAAATGAGCCACTGAAAAAAAATAATTTTTTAAGAATTTCAACTTTAGTTCACATTCATGATTAATAAGTAATTGTGTCAAATTAATAAGTAACTGTGTCAACTATAATTACAGACACCAAGTAGCCAAAGTTTTGAGAAATTAGGCATTACTTTCCTATTAACAACAGTGTAATCTGAACAATCAAATGTTTAAAACATACCTTGGTTTTTGAACTCCATTTGGCATTTAAAAAAGCAGTATAGGCGAGGAATGGGTTTTATGTCACCTACAACATTATATATAGAATCAAAATTCATATTGCATAAATATTGTTGACACACATCAATTGCACACATTACGTCATACCTTTGACTAGCTGAGCAGGTGCCCCCTCCCCCTTTTCAATTATTTAAATCCATTTAACTTCTCCAAAATACAATTTTTTCCATAAAATTTGTCAACAATTTGCATAATTAGTTCCAAATTATCCAAAAAGTGCCAATAAATTGATTAACGTGAGATTTGACCTTTGACCTCATAGGACACAGACTACCAATTATTTTGCTATACATTCCTTTATAATATAAAAAATGATTAAAAAAATTACACCAGCTCAACTTACCTGAAACTTGGCACAGAGTTAGAAGAATTCAAGTCCAAAAATTTTTCAGACTCTCAGGAAAATTCATCGCATGCAGTTTCTGCTAAGGCATCGCAAATAACCCCTACCCTGCTTTTTTCACTTTCTCTCCGGGGAAAGGGTAAATATGGGCCTCTTTACACCCTTCCTGCTATGCGCTTAAGTGCAAAATTTCACATATTAACAATTTTATATTTTTTTTCAAACCCTCTCCTTTCCATCTATACCCAAAAATAACATCAGTCCACTCCATAAACACCCCAAAGAATTTTTAAGAAAAAACCTCTATTTTTAAACTGGAACTACTTGAGTGGTCAATGAAATAGGGGTAAAATTAGTAGTCTGTAACCAATAAAGCTAGAACTGAGAAGATACCTTGGTTTAGTGTAAAATTCATCGATACGAGTGCCATTCAAAACGTTTCACCCGTTCAAAGGACAAAAAAAATGCTGACGACTTTGTTGCACAATGACATGCTGGTGAGATAATTATGTATTCGTTTCAAAAGTATCTGTCTGTAAATTATTTTCCTCCCCCAGGTTTTAAACTGCCCGTGGTAGCTATTGCATATGTTTAGGTCTCTGTTATAGCTTACAGTCTAAGCATCATTCATTAGAAAATGGTTGCTTATGCATCAGATGTAATGAATAAAACTATGGGAGAAGTTAAGTCCATTTGAGGAAGAAATAAACAATAACCTGAAGAAATAAAAAAAAAAAATCATCTATCAAAAGGCAAGAATATACAAATATATACAGGCATGTAGTATCATCTGTATCAGCCAGAAAAATTATTTTACACTTAATTGAAAAAAAAATGTTCCCCAATACTCCCTGTCTGTTTTATGATAGGAATTATAATTTTAGGCATCAAGTAAATTTTAGAACAATGTCTACACATTCACCTAACACATATTCAAGAAATGAAGATATATTGAAAGACTTTTAAAGAATTGATTTTTAAAAATATATTTTGACCAACATCACAAAATTTATATAACTGGCCCAGACTGGCAGATGATGAAATAAGCAATTAAATGTTCTACTTTCCTATTGTAAGCATTATGTGTCCAGTGGTAAGGAGCCTATTAGAATAGCATTAAAAAAGATTGAACAATTTTTTTTATTGTTAATAATTGATTTATCAAAAAAAAAATTTTATTTCCTTCTCCTTCGAGACTTTTTTATTCTCATGTTCATAACTAAACCTAAACATAAAAAAAAAATGCTGGCCTTATAATGAAGAAAGGGGCCTCTTTCAAAATAGATAATTTCAGGGCCGCTGGGTCAGGGGTCCCAGGGAGGTACTTTGACTAAAAATAAATTAATGCTTTGAAATCTGCCCTTTGATAAGCAATGGTGCCTCCTTCAAAATTTGTGAATTTCATGGCTTTTGGATTAAAACACTAGCCAAATACAATCGCTGGAAAGTTGTTACATGATACTCAGGTGACCTATAAGGCCCGTGGGCCTCTTGTTTTGTGAATATTTTTAAAAACTAAGCTCCAGTTAAATGCAACACGTCTTCCATCTGTTTTTCAGGAGCTGAATTCTCCTGCCGTCAGGAAAGAGAAGAATATGTACGGAAGTACGGCAGGGAGCCAGTCCAGTTCAAATCACACACGGGTTAAATCGTATCACGATGATTCAGATGTAGTAAGTACAGGACAGCTTAGTCAGTCAGAAATGTACAATTCTAAAAGATGTACGCATCAAAATTAATTTAAACAATCATGGCAACAGCCAACTCAGTCAGAAATGTACAATTTTATTAGACGTTAATGTCAAAATCTAATAAAGACTATAATGACAATAGCTAAGTCAGTTAGAAATGTACAGTTCTAAAAGACACACACTTTAAAAAAGAAAATCTAATAAGACTAAGTTAGTTAGAAATGTACAATTCTAAAAGACAAAAACATCAAAATCAAGTAAGACAATCATGGCAACATCTAATTCAGTTAGAAATGTACAAATCTGAAAGACATTCACGTCAAAATTAACTCTCTGCTATATTTTTTTTTTACAGGATATGTTAGAATAAATTCTAGGAGAAATTGATTCCACTCCGACATTCCTTTTACACAACAACTGCTGTTTTGTTTTTTCCTGATGTTTTTTTTTAACAACTGTATTTCATGTGTGGAATGGTTGTTTCAAAAAAAAATTCTGATGGATTAGAAAAAAAAAATCTTTATAAAAGTCTTCTGAAGTAATGCTTAAAAATAATCAGCTGCATTAGTGAGAAAAGGGAGGACTCTACATTTATGAAAAATACTTCTTGTCTCTCAATTATACTGTCTTATGCCACTCTGTTCGAAGACATCACATGAAGAAGGAAATTTTTAAAATAAGACTGACGAGTGTTTTCCCTAAGTCTTCACATATATGTCATACAGGTTTGTTCTCAATCCTGCTCAAGAATCGGGATGGATAAAGATGACGCTTTTTTAAAATCTGTGTTTCGTCGTGTAAATCTGTACCAGCACGTCTCTAGAGTTAACGTTTACAGAGTAGTGAACAAGAATGGTTTGTTATTCTGTGTATACAAGGTGGAGTGTTTGTATTCTGTGAAGAATCGGTGTGACAACAGTTTTGTTATTCCTTTATTTTGATGAGGTTTATTGGGTGTACAAAGTTTATACTTTATTTATAGTTTAGGTGTTAGTAAGTTATTTATAAATCATTCTATTTACATGTGATATGGTTTCTTACTTGTTGTCGTGTATATTTCTTTTCTCTTATTTCGGTGTTAGAGAGAGAGAGAGAGCATCTAGATTTTTTATAAGTCTATGACATTACATGTACAACTAGCAATCTCCTTGAATGTAAAGTTTTGGGTAGTAGTTTAGTATCGAAGAAATTATCTTCAGAATTTTTCAGTTTAAAGTATACTATCATTCATAATTGTACATAATAATGAATTCTATTTTCTTTTCTTTTTTCAGTATTTAGACTTAGCAATAACAATGTTCCGTTCATGAAATGATTTGATATTGACTTTGTGTTTTGTATGCAGGTTTGATGTTGAGTTTGTTTATTGTATACAGAACTTCACAGTAGGTTAGAGGATGAATGAAATGTTATACATTTCTTTGGATCTCATTACTGTACATATCTCTCTTTCTGATTTTTCTTAACATTTTTTCAATGACTTATATTAATGTTCTTCTTTAAGTAAATATCTCCTTTGACCTTATATAACATCCCACTTCTAACATAAATTTGACGAACTCCTAATTTGTATACTAACCAACTTTGTATTTTAACCAAGCTTTTTCATGTTGGGTCACTTGTTCATCTACTAAGATTCAAAGCTCAGCAGATAAATTTGTATTGTTTGTTTGTTTGAATTATTTGCATAGCACTGTTGGCATCTTTTGATTGACATATAAAAATTCACACAAAAAGGGGAGCAGTTAAGTAGCAATTTAGCAGTAGAGGCAATTATACTATGCATAATGTAGTGGAAAATAGAATAAAAGTAAAATCTCTTTCTGAAAGTGTGAGCTTGTGATAGGTATGAGTATTGTATATATGTTTTGCACATTTGTTTATATTTCTTAATGATTTGGAAACATTTAGAATTTGTGATTTACATTAATTTGGCAAGTCTTGACACAGTCAACAGTATACACTGTATTGATTTCTTTTAAATGAATGAATTGTACATCATTCCATGTTTTCATTATTGCAGTGTTAGCTTTAATGTGGCACATTATGAGATTTTCAGAAAGTTATGTTTTGATAAAAAGAATTATGTTATGAAAGGGAAAAGAGTAGTTATTTTGTTGTTTGATGCGTTTCTCTCCTCTACCCCCCCCCCCCCCCTCCCCCTTTTTCCTTTTTTTTTAATGAAGATTGTGTATTTGAGGTCAATGTGAAAGTGAAAGTTAACGTGAGTGAGTTCAGTACTGATATTAAGAAGTGTGTTAGTTGGTAAGGTGCCACTCTACAGAAATCCAGAGTCTGGTCCGCGGTCCAGTCTAACTTTAAGATACAGACCAGGCCTTCTGTCTAATGTTAGAGGTGTATGTTAACTGAGATTTCTTGTTTCATATGATCAAGGTCTTCTTGTTATCTTTTCAATAATAAATATTTATTATTATGAATTTATCTTATTTTTTTTTTCACTGCAACTTACAGTTGGTGTAATTAGTCATATATATATAGATTCGTTTAGAATTTCATGTGTTTGATAATGTGAAAATATACAAATAATATTATTGGTTTTTAGCTCACCTGAGCCGAAGGCTCAAGTGAGCTTTTCTGATCAAAATTTGTCCGTTGTCTGTCGTCGTTGTCGTTGTCGTTGTTGTCATCGTAAACTTTTCAAATTTTCATCTTCTTCTCAAGAACCACTGGGCCAATTTCAACCAAACTTAATACAAAGTATCCTTGGGTGAAGGGGATTCAAGTTTGTTCAAATGAAGGGCCATGCCCTTTTCCAAGGGGAGATAATCATGAATTTGTTAAAAATTAATGGCAATTTTAAAAAATCTTCTTCTCCAGAACCGCTGGGCCAGGAAAGATGAAACTCATGTGAAAGCATCCTCAGGTAGTGTAGATTCAATTTTGTTCAAATCATGACCCCCGGGGCAAGGGTGGGGCCAAAATGGCCGACCCAAGTTTTACATAGGAATATATAGGAAAAATCTTTAAAAATCTTCTTCTCCAGAACCACTGGGCCAGGAAAGATGAAACTCATATGGAATCATCCTCAGGTAGTGTAGATTCAAGTTTGTTCAAATCATGACCCCAGGGCTAGGGTGGGGCCAAAATGGCCGACCCAAGTTTTACATAGGAATATATTGGAAAAATCTTTAAAAATCTTCTTCTCCAGAACCACTGGTCCAGGAAAGATGAAACTCATGTGGAATCATCCTCAGGTAGTGTAGATTCAAGCTTGTTCAAATCATGACCCCCGGGGCTAGGATGGGGCCAAAATGGCCGACCCAAGTTTTACATAGGAATATATTGGAAAAATCTTTAAAAATCTTCTTCTCCAGAACCACTGGTTCAGGAAAGATGAAACTCATGTGGAATCATCCTCAGGTAGTGTAGATTCAAGCTTGTTCAAATCATGATCCCCGGGGCAAGGGCGGGGCCAAAATGGTCGACCCAAGTTTTACATAGGAATATATAGGAAAAATCTTTAAAAATCTTCTTCTCCAGAACCACATGGCCAGGAAAGATGAAACTCTTGTGGAATCATCCTCAGGTAGTGTAGATTCAAATTTGTTCAAATGATGACCCCCGGGGCAAGGGTGGGGCCAAAATGGCTGACCCAAGTTTTACATAGGAATATATAGGAAAAATCTTTAAAAATCTTTTTCTCAAGAACCACTGGTCCAGGAAAGATTAAACTTATGTGGAATCATCCTCAGGTAGTGTAGATTCAAGTTTGTTCAAATCATGACCCCCGGGGCAAGGGTGGGGCCAAAATGGTTTACCCAAGTTTTACATAGGAATATATGAGAAAAATCTTTAAAAATCTTTTTCTCAAGAACCACTAGGCCAGGAAAGATGAAACTCATGTGGAATCATCCTCAGGTAGTGTAGATTCAAGTTTGTTCAAATGATGACCCCCCGGGGCAAGGGTGGGGCCAAAATGGCTGACCCAAGTTTTACATTATATATAGGAAAATTCTTTAAAAATCTTCTCCAGAACCACTGGTCCAGGAAAGATGAAACTCTTGTGGAATCATCCTCAGGTAGTGTAGATTCAAGTTTGTTCAAATGATGACCCCCAGGGCAAGGGTGGGGCCAAAATGGCTGACCCGAGTTTTACATAGGAATATATAGGAAATATCTTTAAAAATCCTTCTCCAGATTATCACTGGGCCAGGAAAGATGAAACGCATGTGGAATCATCATCAGGTAGTGTAGATTCAAATTTGTTCAAATCATGACCCCCGGGGCTAGGGTGAGGCCAAAATGGCCGACCCAAGTTTTACATAGGGATATATAGGGAAACCTTTTAAAATCTTCTTTTCAAGTACTTCAAAGCTATGATTAGTGATATTTATATGGAATCATCCTCAGGTAGTGTAGATTCTAGTTTGTTCAAATGATGAACGCCTGGAAGGGGGGGGGGGGAGTAAATTCAAGCCCGATGTGCTCAGGTGAGCGCTGTGGCCCCTGGGCCTCTTGTTAGGTGATGAAATTTTTCATTAAATTTACCAGAAAAATATCAATATTGACTGAGATGAAGATATTTTTGTAATGAAATATAACGAGGTTCAAATACTCCAAGGTCAGAAAAATATCCCGAGGCAAAGCCGAATAATACTGGTCGAAGGGAACTGAAAGATATACATATCAATATACACTTTATTAAAAAATCCTGATATCAAACAAATGCGACAGACTATATAGCTTTCTTATTTCTAATTTGCTGCGATATATTGAGTTGACATACGAATCAAAGTCACTATTGCTTTTGATTTCCTCTTAAAACAGTTACAACCAAACAATATGTAGTGACAAATTTACTTAAATCTTGCAATTAATGTGGTTTTTGATCATGAAATTAAATAGAAATCGTTAAAAGCTAGAGAAAGGCAATCATTTAATTATATTCAATACCAGTAAGCCTTGCTTTTAAAAGACTTATCAGATGACCGAATTTTATTTCAGTTATTTATTATAGGAACCTCAATCTTTTGTGACCTTTAGATACTTGTACACAGTGATAATATTACTGGTCTCCTGACCAAGAAAGAGGTTGTGTTTGTCATCCAAACACAGAGCACAGGGACGACGAAATCCATCGTCTGACGTCATCAACAGACGTAAGAATCCACCATCTTCATTAAGAAGATGAATACTTGCATCTTTAGACCAACAGTTGCACACCAATGCATGTCCAAAACTATCTGTGCAGATACCACTGGGCTTAAAATGAGACTGGAACTTTTGACCTGTGTAGTTAAACCGATGCTGGCCTGAGCTGTCCACGACTACAACTTGACCCCAGCTTGACGACGTCCAGATGTCCCCGTTCCTGTTCTCTGTGATGTATTGGGGTACGTTTTCATACACCCGCCGTCCATTCCTGTCCTCCTCTATGACCTGTGTCCAGCCGGTACTGTCGTGTCTCGTGACCTTACTGAGAAACTTCCCTTTTGTTATGCTTGTATATTGAACTAGAAGTATTTCCCCATTTATCCGAGAGTAGTGAATACAATATGGCTTCCATTCTGTCGTAAAAAGTGTGGTAATTTCCCCGTCTTTTGCAATCCGTTTTACTGTGTATTCACTTTGTTCAACAAATAACAGGTCTCCTTCCTCTGTTGTGTGATGAAATCCACTCATTGTGAAGAATTTAGGAATATTATGTAATATCTTTCCATTTTTGTCTATTTGTAATAGCTGGTCACGGTCGTTGTGAACCCATATCCTGTCTGACGTCACAATAGAGATATGACGTACACATTGAGCTCCAGGCACCGTCATGGTTGATATCTGAATCGGGGAAGGAAGAATCGAGAATGTCTTTTCACCGTCCCCTTAAATTCAAATAAAAAATTGTAAAGAAAAAATTCAAACCTTCATCGTATTATTAAAACACGATTTACATTTAACTGACATGGGTAGAAATCTTTTTTATATTGACATCATGTATACATGTTATGATTTGAATGTCTCATCGTTGAAATTTTTAAAGTTCCTGTGCAATGCAAATCAACAATAAAAATATAAAGGTTAAAAACCCCAACCTTTAGACTTTTTAAACTCCATTTTTCATCACTGTGCCCTCGGAGCCCTTTCATACCATTTGATCTAAAAGTAAAGGTACCAGTATATAATTGAAACTGTTATGGCACGTGATTTGTAGGTGTTTCTACGAACAGGATTTTTGAAAATGCTTTTATTTATTTGTAGAAGTTTCAATATGTTAACAGAATAAAATGCTCTCTTCTGGTAACCTATTTAAACTTTGACGTGTATGATCAAACAGTTGACATGATCTGTAAAATCAATGTGAAAACATTAGTCTTATATGGCATATACAGCTCAACGCAGTTTTTAAACTCACATGATTTTTTGCACAAATTAAGGTCACAATATTCTTGCAATAAAATTTAACAAAATCGAACTTCAGCACGAGACATAACCCTTATATGTACGAGGCGTAAAAAAATTTTTATTTATTTTTTTGTTTATATAGATTACCAAAAAATTATGATGCACTTAAATATGATAAATACACATTTACCGAAAATTTCAGCTTAGTGTGTCCATTACTTTTTGAGAAAAACGCTTTGTCCACGATTTTACCGGACAACCCTCGTATTAAATATTTTATGTCAAAGGTATATTCATTATACTAAGTCTTCAACGTCGATGTTTCAAAGGGAACTTTATTAATAAATGGTATGATGTTATATCTGTATGATTCTGCAATAGGTATTTACAAATTAAATCAATCGAGTTTTCTTTGATACTATTAAGTAGAAATTTCCAAACTGACTTTTTTAGATGAGTATTTTTCTAAGTACTTTGTACATCTTCCGTCCTCGTCTGAAAAATGACAATGTTGTATAAAGAAAACATGCCAAAAGATAGGATAATAAAGTATTGTTTATCTTTAAAAAGAGCAAATTGTTACTACTGACAAGAAAATTATTTTACATTTAAGGTCCTAAACTTTGAAAATTTTGTGGTTGGACGTATCTTTGTTGATGCAAGATTTCAGAAAGTAACCCTGAAAGAATGCCAGCTTTTTAGCATGGAAAGCAGTCGAACAGCTGAGAAATACTGTTTATCATCTTGCGCTTTAGAGTCATATTAATGCACAGAAAATAGAGAAGTTACATGAGCTGCACTGTTTTTGTGTGTCTAGACAAGGCAAAGGACTGCTTTAAAAAGAACAAATACAAAGACAACTGTATTTGACGAGAAACCATGAAAAACCATTTGGGAGCTGTCATAATTTATCATCAAAGAGCATATAAAAGTCCTACTAATTACATTGTATTATGTGTAAATTATGTTATAAGTCAAATCTATTAGTTACAAATCACTTTTAAGTATGTATATATGACCATATAGAATTTGCGAAACATTTACTTTAAACAATATTTATTAATATTCTTGTATCATCAACTTATTTGTTAAAAGCCTGTCGCGTTTTATATATTGTTTTTACGTAGAACGTATATTTACGTATTAAATTTACTGGAAGACATACACCTATGCAGGAAATGTTAATGAATTTTTGCTGTACATGTATGCATATTGGACTTTTGCGAAATACGCTGACTTTAACATTTGACGGTTTACTTTTACACTTGGACAATGTACGAAAGTTCTTTTACGATTTAAATATTTAGCTCAACATTTAAATTAAACAAAAATATAGGGTTTTTCCAGAGCACTCGCACAAATAAGTTACCCTTGAATAAAACGACAATTACAATATCCTCAACTAGCCGACTTCACGTGTCACTGCCCCTTACACCATATCTATTACCAACAGAAAGGTTTTCTTATCTATTATCAATTCTGTACCTCCGTACATGACACGCGTTTAAATGTCAAAGTAAACCGTCAACCATAAAAGTCAGTTCTTCTCGCAAAAGTCCATTCAAAGTCTTCGTTTAGGGATGCTGATTAGCATGTATGACTTCGCACATACATATATAATTAGATGAATATGTTTTACACATAAATAAAAATACATTTATTGTTTATTTAAATCACCACCTGAAAATTTAACCTGTTTTTATTCATAAACGTAAGTAGCGCATGAAGGTGAAAAATTAGAACAACACAGCATGTACAGTTTGACAATAGTTCATCAATAATTATAAAAAATAAAACATGGTACATACCCCTCATTCAGATGTGCATGCGCAGTATCAGAATGATTTTTAAGATATTGATAATACAAGTCTTATCAAAGGTTTTTTGACAAATTCGGTACAGGCTTGTATTGCGTGCAGTTATTAAACAGAGGAAACCATTTAAAGGATTTTTTTAAAAAGATCTAACTTTTGTTTGTTTTGTTGTGAAGTAAATATTACGAACCATTGCATACGGTGTTCGTGCTTTTCTTTATTGGAGGATTCAAAAATCAATATTTAGTCAGTAATTGAATCAATATGTCGAAGCCTAATTATAGCTTTATATTAAAAAATGTCCTAAGTATTGATTGGGAATTTAGCTGCTAACATGTTCTCATAGAAGTACTAGTATCTAATGTACTTGGATGTATATATAAAATTTCATTGGTATATACAAACTATTTTTTTTTGGTGGGGAATATGGCTTGAAATTCATGTAAAAAATATCGAGGTAAATTATTGAAAAGCAAGTTGATGAAACAAGAATATCAACAGTCTCGTTTAAAGTCATCATTTCGTAATTTCTATGGTCGATACAATGACCTTGTCAGCAAATACAATTTATCATTAAGCCAAATTTTGACTGACGTTTTTCATACTTATTGTTAGTTCATTATTTATACACTGAATTGACGACGGATTTTCCTGTTATTTCCCGATCACGACAAGGAGCACACGGCGAGTGTGACCGGTTAGCACGGGAATGCTAACTCCTCCATGGCACCTGATTCCCATCTCTGATGTTTCGGAGGTCAGTGTTTGCTCTGCTCCTATTTTGTATTGTTTTATGTACTTTGATATTGATTACCGTTCGTTATCTCCATATCCTTCATCTATACTGACAGAGGCCAATATATTCTTGCAAATTTCACAAAAATAAATCATAATTAGAGTACAGGTCGTAATTGAAGATGCTTCTGAAAAGTAATCAGTCTTGTGAGTGCATTTAATTTTCATTGTTTCACAGAGAATGTACATGGATAGTGAACTAATTTTATCACCAGACTCATTACGTTTTTGTAGATGTTACACATATATTTTTATCACTATTCACCGACTCAGAGGTCCTATTTAATGTATGTTTCAGTGAGTATATTTACCACATAACTAAGGAAAAGGATATATCACATATACAGATGCATATATTCTTTATGTTCAGATCAGGGCCCTATTGGGCACCAAAAGCAACAATTCAAGCAAGATTTATATAATTTATACGAAAACAGACAATACTTAACATTGAAAGAAATGTTTTAATGTAACATATGCATTAATGCTTTAAATGGCTTGTCAAAACAGTTCACAAACAACAGAAAACTCAGTTTAGACCCAACAACTCATTTTCATGAGAAAAATTGATAGTGTTTATTTATAATATTCATCATTTTCTCTCTTTCTATAACACAATTCAAACATCCAAAAAGTGTGCGTTCTTCATCTAATTCAAGTATATGTAAAATTCCATTTCCTCAAAGTCATGGTTATTTCCTTGGGTGAAGATGAGGAAATGCCGGTAAAACTGGTCTGGGGAAACTTTAAGATATATGACTATAGTAAGTAATATACCCAAATATAACAGGTGCAACAGACTCTGTATCTTTTACTTTGATATATCGAGTTGACATGTGAATTATAATAACTCCTGCTAATCACCTCCTCCAAAAAACAATTACACCCCAAAAATACTTTGTGACAAATTTAAGTCTTGCAAGGTGGCTTTTGGAAATAAATAGAAAATATCAAAAAGGTATAGAAAGGACACCAACCGTCAAACATTCAATCATCCTCGTAATGTCTAGATCATGAGTCAACACCTTGCCGTTGGACCCCTGGCCAATTTCATTCCATATTCTTGGCTGACTGCTGTAATGTCTTCTTTCGGAAAAAAATTCAAATCTTGATTGTTGTTTTCCTATTGGTCAACCAATCTCAATGAGCCATTTTTGACAGGTGCATTTTAGGTGTAAATTGAATCCAATATATCTACATAATCCAACTATTTAGTTAAAGTTTTAATTTGATTGGTCTTCTCAACGAGAGTTATGAATCCTAAAATATCCAGTGAAATATGCCAAAAATCCAAAGCCGCATTGCAAGGATGACATTCAATATGACAAACCTTGATCTAACTCTGACCACGTGACATAATTTCATTTTTATAATTTCATTTTCCGTTAGTTACTAGTATTATACAGAGACCTTAGTTTCCTGAGACTTGCAGATACTTGTACACAGTAATTATGTTATTATTCTCCTGACCGAGATAGAGGTTGTGTTTATCATCAATACAAAGAGCACTGGGACGAAGTAGTCCATCGTCTGACGTCATCAACAGACGTAGGAATTGACCATCCTGATCCAGAAGATGAATACTTGCGCATGCATCATTTGACCAACAGTTGCACACCAATGCATGTCCAAAACTATCTGTGCAGATACCGCTGGGCCTAAAATGAGACTGGAATGTTTGACCTGTGTAGTTAAAGCGATGATGTCCTGAGCTATTTACTACTACGACTTGACCCCCGTATGCCGACGTCCAGATATCCCCATTCCTGTTCTCTGTGATGAATGAGGGTCTGTTTTCATAGAGTCGCCTTCCTCTCT